TCTATCGGCCGATGCTGAAGCCGCGCTGAAGTTTCCCTCAGGATAGATAGAGTTGTTAGAGAAATCGGGAATGGGTAAGATTCACAGTGGTTACTTGATTGAACTGCCGCTGCTATAGCAATTAGACCCACCAAGCAACTCATGTTGTTAACGCCGTTTTCGGAGAGCCTTTGGCGAATACGAATGCCTGTTTCCAGCTTCTTGAAAGAATGCAGGCCCTTGATCCTCAGCGCATCTTCCTCTACTCGTCCCTGGGTGCTTGGCGCCGCGCCTTTCAGTGCATTCCTGGCCTTGCATCCCAAATTGCTCATGCTCTGTAACTTCCCTCGCTTAGCCGGAAAAAAGCGGTTGGACCCATTGCCATACTTCTTGATGACCTTGAGCGGTTGAGCTTTCAGCTGTTACCGGATGGCTGTTCCGTCCATGATGCTCATGACCGGCTTGCTTTTAAGTTTGATACTGTTGCTAAGGGTAAGCTGCAACATATCATTCGTGAAAAGATGCGTGCTTGCGTCATTCAGCAATTTGCCACTCAAAATCCGAAATGGAGCGGGATTGAGCGTGTTGATTTGAAAGCTACTGTTAGTGTCGCGTGCCAGGAGCAAACTGTTCACATTGGCAATGTCCTCCTGTCCATGAGAAGAAAACAGAAAAGAGCATTTGTCGCAGGGACAGATGAAAACTTTAAGCGGGCTGTTTTTGGTAAGCAGAACTGGCGATGAGGGATGAACCTAACGTCGGGCTAAGGTGCTTAATTGTGCGCTAAAATGGATGGTGCTCAAGCCAGGACTGTAGCTTCTCATCATCTAGTGCTAGGCTTTGCAGTTAGGCTGTGCAAGCTTGCTGTAGCCGGCGGATGGCTTGCTGTGGTCCCATGGAGTGATGATCCAGGAATACATTTAGTCTCTGTCGTTCTCTGTCTGCCGCCAGTCGCAGTCAAGAAAAATGAACAAGAAGGTCAACTTTCAGTCACAATGTGCAGTCTCAGAGATACACCGGGGTTGTGTTTTTTTTCTGAATGTGGCAAGATTCTGCAAAGGGCACGCAAGGGTTTCGCCTGTCATCCTCTCGTGCCTTGAAGTTTCAACTTGAAAAAGCTATACATTCGCATTGGGAGGTTGCACGACCTTGAGTGTTTCTTTTGTCGATGTTTGTGGCCAAATGAACAAAACAGATGTGGTACGCTTGTTGTGAGAGATCGCCAACTTGTACTTGGTGCGTGTCAGAAGTGTGTTCAAAGACTGCCATATGGCTTGTTTCGAAAGACTAGCAGCGCGCTTGACTTTGCAATGCTTGACAGCATCTTCGAGTCACATTCAGCTGTGTGAGCTATTTGCAAAACATCGCCTGAATGGCCGCGAATCAGTCGTTCGAACGTTTGCATGAGGCTGCATAGGAGGGTCTGCGACCTTGAGTTGTTGAAAAGCGCGGGCTGGTTGCTGCGATGTGTCAGTGGAACAAAGCTCCTCGGTTGCCAGTGTGTCTTCGTGCACTTGCTACGTCCACAGGCCACGAAAGTGACAAGCAATGCTTTTAGGACTTTCGCGCCGGAGTTTGTGCTCATGTGGATTTGGACGCATCCTACCAACAAAAGGTCTTTGCAAAGAGCAGCCACCGAATCAAACGTACCACAAAACGCAACACGAATCAATCACTCCATTGTGTGGCCGCACCAAGCAAACCAGTCTGTGTTGGTTGACCTTTGGTTCTGAGTTGCAATTCAGTTAAGCTGGACAACATCCATGTTTCCATTGCCTTTCGGCTTAGGCAGAACGGGTTTCGAATGAACACTTATCTTTTTCACCGACCTGTGTTTGATGAATGTCGGCAAGAAGATAAGAAGCAACAAGCCGAACAACAACGGCAGACCCAGTAATCCTAGACGAAATGTTTGATCTTAGCTCTGAGCCCAAACTCATTGGGTTCGTACTTTCTTAGCTCTCAGCGTGCCGTTGCGATTCTGAATGTTGTTTTGTTTAAGGTCCTCATTTCCGAAACGAAGGCCCCAGTCAGTAGTCCCTAGTCCGTGCCGTGCCTTGTTGCGTGCGCTGCCGTCCCGAGCTGGCAGAGGTGCGATTGGTCCGTGCCTGTGAGTTGTACTGCGGTTTGTGGGGCGGGAGAGTTTGGAGATGTAAAGATGAGGCTTCGCAGCTGAAGTTTGCATGCGCAAGACATCGCCAACCTTAAATCTACACCAAGTTTTTGCAATTCGACTGATCCTTCTTTCAACGCAGCCATCCGAGGCCCTGGGCTGTAAAGCACCAATCCTAGTGCAAAGCCGAAGGCCCGAAAATCCAAAGCCCAAACGCGCAAACGAAGCCCCAAAACTTTGAACCCCAAAAAACAAGCCCAAGAACATCCGAGCGGCCCGTTTGCAGGTGTCAGGATATGGGTCAGGCTTGCGTCTCCAGCCCGGGGGCTCGCAGAACCTCCGGGGCTTCGGGTCATGGTACTGTCGAGAATGACGGTGGTGCTCGTGAGATGCATCCGTTACGAGGACGGCTAGCTTTGTAGTATGAGGACCTGAATTCTGTTGGATGTTTCAGAAGGGTTGTTACAGCCTCACACCGAAGCGACTCCCAACCGGGATGCCTTTGCTGCTTTTCTTCAATTTCTCATCGACTTCGGATGATAACTTATGCACAGGATGTCTGTGAACTCCTCGTCGCCGTCCGATTCGCCCAAGCCTTGAAACCTTGGCGCTCAAAGTTTTTCCCTGCCAGACACCCCCATTCGACTAGAATTTCGGAAGCCCATGTGGCTGACTGTAGACTGTAGACAACATGAACCCTCAACCCAAGCCTAAACCTTACAAAACCTTGCTCGTAGAACCATAAGCCCTAGAAATTTCCTTTTTTGAGAACGAGGCCATAGAGCCTTGTTCTTGCTAGAAACCGTAAGCCGCCTGAGCCCGCACCACATCGAACGGCGTTCCGAGGCTGTGTCAGCCCCGATGCGGGCAGAGCCGGCAGCTGTGCACTGCCGGCTTGATTGCTGCGGCTTAAATTAGGGCTTGGGGGTGTGGGATCTGTAAGGGTTGACGATGTTGGGATGTTTGGGTTATGGTTCAGGATTTAAATCTTGAGGCTTTGAGTAGGGGGCCCAGCCAAGTCCGAGCGTCAGGGTCGAGGATGAACCCTTTCACGTCTCTCGACTAAGCACTTGATCTAAAGTGACAAATCTCTGAGCTTCTGGGTTGGTTGTATTCCAACCTTTTGCAGAGCAGAGGATTTCGATCAGGTTGACGGAGAGACCAACACGCCTAGACCCGAAGCCTTTACCCCACAACCTGAACCCAGAAGCCGAGAGTCTGCGTGAAGGTTTTACTAGACTGGTACCCCAGCTTTCAGGTCAAGTTTGCAAGCTAGTCAGCTAGTCGCTTTGAGTGGTTTGGCATCGAATGATGGTTGTCGTTGATCTACCTGTTGTCGCTATAGCCCCGTCACGTCGCTTGACTCCGAAACCGCGTGTCTCAAAAGGCAAGGTTTTTTCCATCTTAACTGCTGGAAACGCCGGTGGTCTGCACAGAAGGAGCTGACTCTAGCCTCGGATTTAGGCTCGCGAGCCTTGGACATGATCAGTGTATGTAGATACCCAGTCAACCATAGGCGGAACCCCCGAAGACTCCAACCCCTGGGCTCCGCTGACACCCTAGCGAAGGAGGCGCCGCTCTTCCACGAGTGCGCCCCGTCGGATGAGCCCGGAGCCCATGATGCTCAGAATTTCGGACATCAACCAAAATCCTGAACCCCAAGTCCTTAACCGCCTTGAACGCCTTGACCGCTAAACCCTAAGCCCACAAAGCCAAAACCCGAACTCATGTAACTCCCAGTCTTGACTGGTAAGCTGAATTAAGCTGAGGATTGTTGCATGCAGCGATCAGGGCTGCGGGCTTCAGGGATCCCGCGCAGATGCTGGGTGTTTCAGACTTCAGAAGGGTTCGCAGACCGTGGGCTTGAAGTCTAGCACCAGACTTCGACTCGGGATTTGGCAGCACGGGATGCGTTTTTGCTTATGCTTTTAGGATTTTGTGGTTCTTCAGGCCTGTTCAGGGCTTCTTTGGGGGGCTGCGGCTTCCCGAAAGCCGTCAAGACCCAAACGACCCAAACACCGCGTTTAAGAGCTGGCAGACGCCAGACCCTCTACAAGTTTCAGACTGCCCATGCGTCGTGAAAACCAGTCCTGAGCCAAAAGTCCAATATCCGGTGCCTGAGCCCCAGGGTGATTATCAGCACCGGCGACGATGGGATGTCACAAGCTCAGTTGGGGAAGATTCCGTTTTTGCAGCCGTCGGGTAGGTGGCCTAAGTTAAACTGTAAAGCTTATGATTTGGGGTGTTGAAGCTTTCGCAACCAGGCCAGACTGGGTCTGGGTGTATTTTGAGGCCCATGGTTTCATGGTTTCGTGCGAGGTTGCAGGATGCAGCGTTGGCCCTATGGAATTGTATTGTATGTTTGGGATGTGGCTTCCGTGGTAGTTAGCTGCGTACAAGTTCAGATTCAATGGCTTCGGTACTGTAAATCCTAAACTCGAAGCTTCAGGCGCTAAAACCAAGACCCGATTTTCTGGAACTGCTCACAGCAAATGATGTCTTCTGGCATTCCTACCAGTATCTATCTACCAGTCTTGGTGTTGTGCCGTATGTGAAGGGCGACTGCAGCCATGGCAACGGTCGTAGAAGGGGACGCGGCCTTCGCTGCGGGCATCTTCAAGAATTGCTTCGGCCGTGGCGGCGACTTCACTGTGGTGGTAGAAGAGCCGCAGGATGAGGATAGCTGTGGGTCAGAGGTCACGCGAGTGGAGTTTCAGGTCTGGTCTCCTCTGTTGGCCAGCTGGTCTGCGGTGTTCGACAGGATCATCAACTCTGAGGAGTTTGTCGAGCATAAGAAGGCCCAGGTGGTCATTACGGACTTCTCCAGGGAAGCGGTCGAGATCTTCCTCGTTTCCTTTACTCCGGGGTCGTAGAAGGCCCTCTTGAGACCCTCGTCGAAGTTTGCGCGATGGCGGACAAATACCAGGTGGAAAGATTACACCAGCTCTGTACACAGGCGTTCCAGAAAGGACTGAACCCGGAGAATGCATGCCGGCTCTTTGCCTCTGCCGCCCGCTTCCGGCTTGCAGACCTGCGCAGAATGGCGCTGGAGGAGATCTGGGTCGATGCAGAAGATGTGCTGCAGGAATGCCCGAACGTAGGCCCTGAGCTGCTGGAGGAGATCCTGGCTCCCGGCTTGCTCTGCTTGAGCCATCCTGATCTCAGGGTCGTCTTACAAAGGTGGCGCTCTGCCTTTGGCAGGAAGCGGAAGGCTGGTGAGGAAGCGACCTTGCCGTCGCCCTTGCAGCAGGTCGTCGATAGACACTTGGAGCGCTTGGACGATGAGAGTGCGCGCTTTTTGACGACATATGGGCCACACATGATGCGATCAGTCATGTCAGCCTGCGGCTCGGACATCTTTGCCAATCTTTTCTTTGACTACGAAAACTCAAACGACGGCACCGGTTCACTGTGCTTTCTCGGTTACTATCTCCAGGTGGTTCTGGGACCAAGGAGCTGGGCCTTTCGTTCGAGAAACCCGGAGCCATTGGAGGAGTACTTTGGTAATCGTAAACCCTTCTCGCTGACCGGGGACTCAATCTCGTGGATGCTGCCTTATGAATCTGTCTATCTCATGGGCCTCTCTTTCGTCCTGGACATGCCAGAGCAAGTCCACTGCCGGATCTTCTGTTCCCAGGATGGTGTGAGCTGGCATCTCGCTGCCGACTCAGGAAAGTCCAAGATCGAAGCCAGGACGGCGCTGACCCTCCACCGGCCCCCTCACCTCGTGAAGTGGTTTAAGCTCGAGGTTCTGGAAGGCGACTTTCACAACAACTTGCGCGTTCGAGGAATCCGCAAGGACGATCTTCCGGCATGAGCATGCAGTCGTGGGATGTGCACACATCAAAATGCTCGGGAGCCGTGCTCCCTGAACCTTCAGCAGTTTGATGGGTTTCGGGGTTTGTGGTTCAGAGCTGCTCTGAGTAGGTTGGGAAAGTTTGTGGGTTTAGAGTTTCCTGGGTTTTGTTTAGCTGAGCTGGGGTCTTGCGGCGTGAGGGTTTGGCGTTCAAACTTTTAGGCTTCTCTCCGCGTGAGTTCTTCTCAATGCTCCCTAATGAAACCTCGGTTGTGGGGATACTGGGAATCTTGCTTCTTCCGAAAACTCGAGCCTCCAAACCGCAGGCTCGATCCGAAATCCCTGCAGCCGCCTGGACCTATCACTAAGCTGAGCACCCCCCCCGAAGCGCTACTGTAACGCTCTCAAAGCGCAAAGCCAGCCGTGGCCCTGTCTGGAACTGCCCCGGGGGGCCCTTATCCTTAAACCGCAAGCCCCATGCCTTATCCTCGAAGCATCGAAGCAACTCGCCCCCTTCGAACCTCGAAGCTGAGCCTCAAGGCGGAGGGCCCGTCTCCGAAACCGATCAAGCGGCAGCAAGGCTCTGCCAGAGGAGTGTGGTTAGCCAAACGGTTGCGTTTCCTTGATATTGCTTGGGTTTAGAGTTTAGGGGATGGAATGAGGAAAGGGTCTGCGCTCCAAGTTTCCAACATTGTCATCGAGCAGAGTTTTAAGCATTTCGTTTGTTTTGGGCCTTGTGTCTTAGAGGTTTGAGTTTTAGCCTGCGCCTGACACCTGCGAGCCAAGGCTTGTACGACCTGAAGCTCTGAACCCTGAATGCACAACCTTTTTAGGGTAATACACAACCCCTAGCCTAAGCCCTCAACGGCAAGGCAAGATTTCAAAGCACTTTGGGGTCTTGTCGGCTGCTTGGGTGCGTGTTCGGGCTTTCCTAGCACGCCGAAGGATGCCTTGTGATGGGGTCTTGGGATGTGGGGCTTCAGTGGAATCTTTGGCCATAGGGTGTTAATTTTGACGAAGTAAGAGAAGAATGCGCGCGGTTCTTATAGGATGTTGGCGGTTTGGGATCTGACGATGTTGGTTTGAGGATCCCAGGATGGTGCGGGGTTCAGACAATGATGTGTGGATTTCAAGGTCCAGGGGCTGCGGTTGCCATGATTCGGATCTGGCCTCCTCAAGCCTCAAAAACCTGAAGCCCTGAACCCCAAACCCCACAACCATGCAAGACCCCAAACTTTCAAATCCTTCACTCCGCGACTTTGGTTCGATTGAGAGTGTCACTTCGGACAAAAAAGCAGCGGCCAGGCCACAGAGGATCTGCCAAAGCTCGAAGCCATGAGATGCTTCTGGGGGTTGAGTGAACACTCTGGGTTGACGGTTTCGGGCTTTCCCTAGGCCCGAAGCTGTATCAACACAGTAAACAAAGCATAGTCATAGTACAATGCAAAATAGTGTACAGTATTTACGTATGTTTCTTCGCTGTTTACCTATATTTCTGCGCTCGCGCAGGAGTTTCGGCATGAGCTGGGCCTCAACAGCTACCTGGGCACCTGCTCACTGGGCTGCGTCGTGCCAGGGCAGCATGGAGCAACTCCGAGCCCGAAGCCCTGATCCCTTTCGCCTAAGCCTATAGTATAGTTATTTTCTAAAAACTGCGACACTGCTACAGTATATTGAAAGACCGCTGATCTTGAGCCTGAAACTTTGTGACTTACAGAGACCCGGAAGCTATCCCTTTCGTAAGAGGGGTCACAGGGCGAGGCTCTGGCTGTGCCTGAAGCGTAGCTTGTTGTTCCCAACAGGCGACATTCCTGCCTTGACGGTTTCAGACTTCGGTTCGGGTCGTTCTAGCAGGGTGTTGCGGGCTGATTTCGTGGTTCCAGCGACTAAAGCTGTGCTTTCAAACCGAACAAGAAGGCCAAATCCAAAGCCCAAACATGCAACCCCTAGTTTTGCATAAAGGGTTCATCTGGCAAGAGACCTGCATTGTCAGTCAAAGCACTGCCGACGACGCGAACCCCCAAGACTTGGATAAGATCCAGGAATCAGGAAGCCCGCCGATCATTCTGGACCCTATTCGAGAAAGTGTAACGCCTCCTGAGCTCCCGAGAATCCTAGCCCCCACAACCCAACACCAATGTGACATGAAGACGCAGTGACGCAGGTGCGAACACTGCACACCCCCAGTGGGTCGACGTGTGCGCTGAAGCGCATTAGCAAGCAACCCCGGCAAACTTATCGAGGTGCTCAGGACGCTTGTAGGGCTTGCGTTTTTTTAGTCTAGAGTCTAGGGCCCAGGCTTGCCCGAGCTGCCGCAGACCTGATGCAACAAGCCTTCTATCAAGAAGCCGGCGACCCTTCTCTGAAGCGTCGAACTTGCGAAACCTGAAAGACTGAATTCTGAATGCTGAATCTTAGATCTCAATCCCCGACCAGAACCCCGAAATGAGTTTCAGGAACCTCCATGGCAAGCAAGTCAAACCCCCCTAAGATGAGCATACAGGGGTAGAAACCCGGCGGTTTTTCCATCATCTGCTGCCAGGAAGCTCCTCGTTGGCACTGAGTGGAGGGAAGATGCCCGGCACCCAGATCCAGGATGGCGACCCCTTCGCAAGGTCTGGGACGAATCGGGAACGGCCCTCGGACCTAGAAAGGGTTCTCAAGGCCTGGACGGCCCAACAACTCCTTTCCTTCTGTCCCAGTATTATTATTATTATTCTTCTTCTTCTTCTTCTTCTTCTTCTTCTTATTCTTCTTATTCTTATTATTCTTCTTATTATTCTCCTTATTCTTCTTATTATTCTTATTATATTTTTCTTATTATTGTTATTATTATTCTTATTATTCTTATTATTCTTATTATTCTTATTATTCTTATTATTCTTATTATTCTTATTATTCTTATTATTCTTATTATTCTTATTATTCTTATTCTTATTATTATTATTAGTATTAGTATTATTATTATTATTAGTAGTATTAGTATTAGTATTATTATTATTATTATTGTTATTGTTGTTATTATTATTATCATTATCATTAATATTATTACTATTATTATTATTATTATTATTATTATTATTATTATTATTATTATTATTATTATTTATTTTATTATTATTATTATTATTATCATTATTATTATTATTGTTATTTTTATTTTTATTTTTATTATTATTATTGTTATTATTATTATTATTATTATGTCCGCATAGGTTTTTTTGTGGCGCAGAGGGTACCTCGGGGAAGTCGGTGGAGGATCGCAAGCTTCAAGTGCATATTGTAAACCAAGCCAGTCAGAAAAACTCCAGACCTTGCAGCCGAAAAGTGCAAAACCCCAGAGCCCAAACCCTTAAACCCTTAAATCGAAGAGTTAGTACCGGTATCCCATCTACTTGTCAAGGCCCTTCTATTAACCCCTCTGAGTGTTTAGTGTACCGAGGTGGCGAGGCTGCAGGAGCTGGAGCATCGCCACATTTGCCAAGTGAAGGACGCCTTCGAGGCGGGCGGTCTGCTCTTGCAGTTTTGGTCTTTGCGGTGTAGGGCTTGGGGTCGTAGAGGGGATTCAGGGATAGGGGGTTGGGGTTTACGCGAGATGTAGGCTTCGGGGTTAGAGAGTCCAGCAGTCCTGGGCAGGATTTCTCAGTCTTTTGTAATATGTGTTCATGGTTTGCAGGGTGGCCTGCAACTGTGTTGGTTTGGGCCATCAAGTAAGTGTTGAGTTTGCGTCTTGGAGCTTTGCTGCTGGCTCGCTGCATTGCTTTGGGTTGTAGCCTCGCATTGTAGAAGTCTGGCTAACTCCATACAGATGTAGAGCATGCAGAGTGCTGTCATTCTGATGCTCAGCATACTGTTATTATAAACGTGCATGATTCTGGTCTCGTTGTTTATAGCTATAATCATTTTTCTATTTGACATTGTCGTAATCGTCAGTTCTAGTACTACCATGTTAGTATTGTCATGATAGCTGATAATCTGAGTGTTCTTTCGTACTAGCACTGGATATCATAATATTCGCTTGGGCCGGTGGAAGGACGAATTGATATCTCAGGGCCCAGGGCGCTTCGGATTTGGATTTGGATGTTGGGCTTGCTGGATTGAGTGGAGCTTTGGATTTAGGGTCCCGAGTAGTGTGCAGACTTATCTCGGTCTCCAGCTTCATGCCCCAAAGCCATACCGGCAAAGGACGCGACCAGCGTGTATCTGGCAGGGATCCCAGTTACCAACGTCCAGCATTTGAGTCGGGGCCAGCCGGCGTCAGGATGTCTTCAGGGTGTCGTCTTTATACACCTCGGGCTATCGAAATCTTCTGTAGCAACGTACGGTAGGACGGTGACGGCAGCTGCCGCTGCCGCTGCTGCTGCTCCGACCACCACCACCACCACCACCACCACCAGGAGCCCTGAAAGAACGCCCTACAAATTGAACCCCGCACTGCCTAAAAAAGAGAGAGGGAAGCCCAAGTTGGTCCAGGACATGGTCCTAGAGAGGTAAACTCGAGGGGTTCCTTTTTGGGGGCAGTTTATCAGTCGCTGAGCCTCCTAGCCCTAAACTCTAAACCCTGAATGGTCCTTAACATTCGATCAGCCTTGCTACTACCTCGATTTTGGTAGCTTTCCAGGGTCTTCCAAATTATGAACAAAGCTCAACCAAGCCTTAGACTGCCCTTGAAAAGAGCTTCAGCACACTCTCAACCTCAACTAACCTTCAACAATCCCAAATCCTGCATCTTAGACCCCAAGCCCCAAACCTAGACACCCACCCGAGTGTCAGGTGATGGATCTCTGTCGGGGAAGCAACCTCAACAGCATCACCCGGAGCATGCGAAGTGCCTTGGATGCCACTTCGTTTGGGGTTTACGGTTTGCCGGTTCGGCCCACGGATTCAGCTGATTGAAGTTTTCAGCTTTACCTCAACCCGGAGCAATGAAAAAGCCGAAGAGCGCGCCAAGATCGCCCCCTCAACGAAGCCCACGTTGCCGTCATGGTGCACCAGATGCTTCAGGCACAGACGGAGCCATGACTGGAAACCCTAAAGGCTTGAAGGTCCGGCCCTACACCCCTCAAAGGCCCTACTAAGACGTTGGGCGCGGGAAAAGGACAACTGTAAGGAGTGATCGGAGATTGCAGAAGAACAGTTTTGGGATGAGATTCTGCAGGGATGGTAGGGCCCAGAGCCATGCAGCTTGGAATGGGGCTTGGAGTCTCAGGTCTGGGGTGTTACAGAGTCTCTATATTCCAACTATGAAGGCTCTGTATTATGCGCTCATAAGCTTTGAGCTGTGCGGTTTGGAAGTTTCTTGAAGAATGAAGGCCTGAAGCTTCGGCTCGAACGATCTCGGTAGAGGGGCCCTGAGAGCCGTAGATCCGAAAAGATATACGTATTGGGTGCACGGATGTCGAAACCGCTTCGGGAAGTCAAGTTTAGAGGCCTTGAGCGCAGCTTCAGCTTTGGTTTCAGCTTTTGGTCTATTTAGGTCTCGGGCAGCTCGCACGTGACAAGGCTGAGGCTCCTGACCCCTCGCTTGTATGACTGTCCAGGCACTTACCAGCGAGGCTGAGCAGCTCAGGGAACTCCGAAGTTATTTCCCAAACCCTAGGCCCTCGGCTGTGATGTGTTCCAGCTCTGTTTTAGCTTCTTTTGTGGCCGGCCAGGCAGTGTGCCACCTGCACGGCGCCGGCTACGTGCACAGCGACATCTGCCCAGAGCCGGGCGGCCTAGGAAGCCTTTCCCACCGGGCGGGAACGGGTTGGGCTTTGGTATTTTGAGTTCAGGGGCCCGCAGACGTCCTGAAGGTTGTTGCTTTGTAGGGTTTTGGATCCTAGCAGCGCCCAAGTTGAGCCGTGAAACTAGGTTCTTGTTATAAGGGATGGTTTTGGATTGTGGAGCTTCGGGAATCCATAACGCTGTCATGCTAATGAGTGCTGTCGCATCCACCATCCGGTCTTCGAAGAAGTGTGTCAGTATAGGACCCCGTTCCAACGGGGTCTCACTGCTGTCGGGGGTTGGGGTTGCAGGCTCTTGGGTTCATTGGAGCACGTCTGTATTTATGTGATCCTCAAGACATCAAGAATCAAGCCTGCGACACAAGCCGCAGACCCTTGATCCCCTCAACTGCCATGTGGGATGGTCATGTGGGGACAAAGGTTGCATGAGTCTCCAACTATCGCTTCGTGCATCTACAGTCTTCAGGCATCGCAGGCCTCGAGAGTTGAAGCCTGCAAGCCTTCAATTCTCGAATGTAGAACCCTGCATGCGCTTGGGAACACCATAAGTCTTGCAGGCGAATTTCGGGTTCGCATCTTAGAAAAAGTAGACAATATGCGGGATGTGGAGAAAACGTCAAGGCCACGCCTTCCCAGCGAACTCATCCGAACCCTCAATCTTGAACCCTCAACAAAAAGACCAGCTTCTGGACCAAGAAAGATCTTGAATTCGAAGTTCTGAGCACTGAAATCCCGAAGCCCCCCTAGGAACTGGCTCTTTGACGAGCCCCTGGAGGGACATAGCGCGTTTGCGAACATGCCGCTTTGCCGCCACTTTGGGGATTTTGCGTGGCTTGGGTGCGGACATGTGGGAAGCGTGTAGGAGGAGAGTTGAGACTTCAGGCCGTGAGTTTACGATCTCGTGTTTATCATGTAGGGTATCAGAGGGAGATGCTTCATGACGGACCCGTTCAGACTGCCAATCTTCAACACAAACGCCGAAGCCCGGCAGAACAGTGCCATCAAATCTGTGGGAGTGAACAGGGGAGCCTTAGTGCCAAAGTGATTAACACTATGATTCTGGTACGATCGCCCCCAAGTTGTCATGGAACGGCCCTGAGACCATCGTGATTTGAGTGCATGTTCTCCGGGCGTAGACGCACCGCCCGAAATGACTGCTGTCTTCTAGACCCTGAACACGCCACTGCCTTCAGTTTCAAGACTACTTCTTCAGTCAGGCCAAGCGCATCACGTTTTTGTCTGGTTGGGTTCAACTCGTCGGAAGTCAAGTTTTGCACCCTGGACCCCAAACATTGCAACTCCAAGCCCTAAAGCCGCACCGAAACCCAGAGCACGACTTTACTCCGACCATTCTCCAAGCCCCGAGCACCAAACTCTCTGAAGCCAAGGACCTTGAAGATGATCGACTTCGGCAGGGAGCCCAATGGCCGAGATGCGAACATAGTCTGCAGAGAAGCTCTAAACTTGCCTCCTCGGCCCTATAGTTTCCTACAGCGCAGCCACCCGAAACAGACATCCTTGACATGAGATTCCCCCAAACTCCGAAACACCCCTAGTTCAAGACCACATGAGATTCCCCAAACTCCGAAAAAGACCAAGGCCTGGCGAAGAAGCACTCCAGGGAGCAAGTGCGAAAGCCCCAGCGGTACAGCCATCTTAGCATGGCCAGCCGGGGGCCTCAGACTTTTTGAGCCTTTGAGACTCTGTGTTGCTTTCCTTCTCTTTTTTGAGGGCTTTTCTGGGGTTCTAGGAGTGTTTCGGGTGTTGGGGCATTGGGCTTTGGGCTTTGGGCTTCAGTTTCGGGCTTTGGGCTTGTAGGGTTTGGCTGCTTTCACTGGTTGGACGTTTCAACGCTCGGGGTTTCTTTCTTGTCTGGCTTAGACTTTGGGGTTTTGGGCGTTTCGGGAGGTGTTGGGAAAGCCTAGGGCGAATGCCCTCAATCCCCAGCTGCGCAGAGCCTCTGAAAGTTGTGTTGTAGAGTGTAGCTCGTTCCATACATTGGACGCCCTGAGTCGGCAAGGGTCTCGGTCCGAAACCTCGAGCTTGCGCCGCCGCAATCACTGCCAGGTCGCCCAAGCCCCAAACCGAGAAGGTTCCTTCCGGCTTGGCTTTCAAAACCCGAATCTCTAAACCCAAAGCCAGGCAACTTCCTGCTCGAGCCCGCTCGTGCACAGAAAGAAGCCATTGCACTAAAACAACCCAAAGCCCAATCGCGCAAACCACACACCCCAACCCAAAGGGTAGAGTTTCAGCAAGACTAAGACCCCTGGTGCAGACCCTGCAAGAATTTCAGGTTTTGAGACAGCCTTCACCTCATGTCAAGGTTCGTGGGCCTCGGATCGCCGTTCTTCGCATGGGACCAGCCCCGGTCGTATCTCGGCATGCGCTTCTCTAAGGGCTTCAGGGCTTAAGGGCAACAAGGGCGTCTGACGACTTGGGTGCCAGGGTCTGGAATCGAAGGCTCTCAGGTTCCCAGGGTTCCAACGCTTCCAGGGTTTAGGAGTAGGGAGATTACAGTAAGGGGTTTAGTAGGTCGGGTTCGATCAATCTGGGCCCTCCGTCTTGCCCGCCCGCTTCTCCATTCTTTTCGCTTCTCGCCCGATGCCCCGAACCTGAACTCCTCACTCGCCTAGCATGCTGGTGAGCCACGCCATCCTTTCTTCTGAGGCAGCTTCATACAGAACGCTTGAAGTCAGCTTCAAAAGCCACCGAGACTTCTTCAGAAACTTGAGTAGACCCTTGTGCCGTAAGGCCGGGAGCGCCTGAAACGCCGCCCTGAACCTTGAGCCAAAACACCACGTATTCCCTTACAGCACCGTGCTCCATAAAAGCTTTGCGAAGGCAGAAAGAGCGTGCTGTCCATGGGCGACCGGTCGACACGTTCAACTCAGAGCCAGGAGCTACTCACAGGGGTTTGCAGTTTGGGGCTCTAGGTTTCGGGGCTCGCGAGTTTTGCGGAGCGTCGGGCTTGGGTTGGGAGTCTGGGTTTGATTGAATTGGAACGTGGAGCGTAGAAGATCAGCTTGGGGCCAAGTATGGCCAAAGCGCTTTTGGGGATTGTAATCGTTGTAACCTTGGAAGGCCCGGTGACCTAGTTTTCTGAGCGGGATGTAGATTGGCCTTCCAAAGAACTGAAACGAGGTTTGAGGTGTAAGTTTTTAAAGGTCTACGTGCTACTGCTTTCCACCTTTTCCTCAATAGTGTCCCGATCCCGCAAAGCCGAACGGTAAACCCTGTAAACTGTATAGTTTCAGGCAGGAAATCTTCGACAAGTCGTGGTTTTGGGGAGTGTCGACACCATGCACCTTGCACGGTTTCAACGGCACATGAAAGGGCACTGCGAGCTGCATGGTTGGAGGTATCGGGATCATCATAGTTTTGCTTCCTGGCAAAAACATGTCATGCACTTGTGCTGTGCTTCACATGGGCGCCCGGTCCATGCTTTTGTCATTTTTTCGAAGACTAAGCCCAAAAAAGGCACCTGACATGGACTCTTGAAAAAAGCACCCCGTTTGAAGACATCGACAGGAGGAGCAGCGGCCCTGCCCCCTCTTCTGTCAGGCGTTTGGGGTGGCCGGCTCTTATTTAGGGGATGCAGGGGCAGGGCATGAAGCATTGCCTTAATGCAGATGGACTTCTGAGAACCGCATAGTGATGCTCAACAGAACGGCAGACAGCTGTGATGCGTGCTTTCTTGTACCCTCAGCCCCAGGCCCCAAACCTCACGCCCATAACTCAAACTGCTTTGGCCTAGAACCCCCAGATTGTGGCTCTTGGTTCCTTGGATTTGTCAATGCTCGCGAGGTTGATTATGGGTTAGTTGTACGGTTTCGCGATTCTTCTCGAAGGGTGCCTGACCCTCAGCCCATGAAACCGAAACACACAAACCCAGAGCCGAGCCCTCAAAGCCTAACCGGTGAAACCCAAAACCCGAAATGCCAGAATCCCCAAACCGGAAGCCGCCAACCGAAAGCCCCGAAAACCTCGGAGCTTCCTGTTCTACCGAAAGCCTGCGCCGCCCTATCCCCGATAGTACCATTCTCGCACCCTGATCCCTAATCGTCACCTCAGCGTATCCCTTATGGTACTGTAGCCAGAAAAAAATATTTTATTTTTTAATAGTTGAATAACTCAACACTATAATAATATACGGTAATATACGTACAGAGGCTCCCGAGCAGCTGGAGCCCGGCTATGTCGCCCAGCGGAGCTGTGACGTTTGGGCGTTGGGCCGGGGGCCCACAAAAGGTTTCGATGCTGTAGGGGTTTAGGCTGTAGGGGCTTTAGGGTTTGGGGTTCGAGATATTTTTACCCGGCTGAGTGGTTTCGACAAGGCCGGATCGGATCTTCAGGCTCGGTGGCTCGGGCTTTGCATGTTTTGTGTCGATGTAGGGTTCCTCCCCTCGGCTTAAGTTCTGCAAAGAAACCTCTTAAGCCGATGTGGGAGTCGGGCTTGGGATTTGTTTGTATGGTGATGTCACTCAACACCCCACCCTAGCTCCTATTCCTTCACGGTTTTGGGACTTTTGGCGCCCTCAAGGGCTTCATGTCTCGATGTTGAGGTTTTTCGGGGATTTGGGTTTCACGGTTTAAGGCTCAGGGCGTACGAATCCTTAGAGCAGTTACATGGCCGTTTCCTGACAAAAGTGTTTTGGCCGACCTCCTTAGCCTTTGAAGACTATGTTGTTTTGTGCGGGGTCTGTTAAACCCAAACTCAAGACTGACACGAGTGGCTCTGTAACTTGGGCTTCTTCATCAGATCCCTGATAGTTTAATCTAACGAACTGTCCATTGCAAGTAGGGTTTACTTCGACGTTTTGTGGTTTTGGGGCGCTTAGGGCTCGGTTCTCCAAGCCGCAAGCCTTTCCCAATGCGCAGAATCCAAACCGTAGAATCCCTGCCCTGAACTCCAGTCGTCCAGTGATGTGTATATGCAAAATCTCAGAAAGCAAAACCTCGACATGAACCTGAGCTATAGACCGTCAACTCCATCCCACGACAGTTCAGGCTTTATAGTCCCCCCACAGCTTCAACTGAAGGCGCTGGAGCATGAGCCCGAAACTCGATCTCCACCCAGTCCTTCAATTAAATCATGCACGCCACACCCCGAAGCGCCGTTAGCCCAAGCCGGAGCCTTTTCGCGGCAAACCCTGAGATCCTTGATCCTTGCCGGACGAGGTGTGATCGCGTACTTTTTGCTCTCAGGGGCATCCCCCTTCGAGCCCTCCAAAGGCCGGTTACTGCAGCGTAGCTCCAGTCTAATGCAACTGTAGGGCTGCTGATGAGTCATCTCGGCACTGGGCACTTGAACACGCCATGTTCGGCTAGGCCCTGGTATACCTACGGTGGACCTTGTGGTAGCTGCTGCCGTTGCGGTTAGGGTGGATTTTGCTCCAAGTGCTCGCGCAAGCTCGGGGTACAATGCGAGTGTAGCAAAGCCCACTATCGCCAAACCTTAAAAGCTAAATTCAACACCCAAACCGACGCTCACAAAGGAGTTACCGACCCTTCCAACAACCTTGCCTTCAGAAACGCACGTGGGGGGCCCAGGACGGATCGACCTTGAAAGTGTAGAAGGGATCAGGGGTTTGCGGGAGTTTAGGGTTTAGGGTTTTAGGGTTTAGGGTTTAGGGCTTAGGGCTTAAGAGGATGGTTGAGGGGTTCTGTGCCGTGCCGGGTCGTTTTGGTTCTTACTGTGTCTGGCTAGTTGGGTTGAGCTTTTGACCCTCAACCCCTCAGAACCCTTCAACCCTTAAGCCCATGCAAATTCGAAACTCCCTACCTAACACCCCGAAGCCCTACATCTCCAAACCCCAAAGCCCGCAACCCCTAAACCCTCTACACAAACCCCGATTCCAAGCACAAAGAGCCTACCCGAACCTCCAAACCGTATGAATCCTACATGGCCTACAGTGGCCTCTTAGAGTGCTGTAGATTCAAGCACATCAAATAAGCAAACCTTGAGAATTGAACACGATGAACAACCTGTAAGCCGTTGATCCCTGCCGGTCTTTCAAGGTTATGTTTTCATGCCAACGGAGGCACTGACATGGATTTTGCGGGGCATTCCCACGCTCCTTCGGGGTTTGAGGGCTTCTTACAAGGTATGTTGTGCAAGAGCTCGATTTCTGGTGGCGAGCGAAAAGTGTGGGAGTTTCGGAGACCAACGGATCCCAATCTGGACCCCATAGATAAGGTGTTCTGATACTTAGATAGTGAACAGGGGAACGTTAAACTTTTTGGTCTTATATATTAGCTCCATCTTACAAAGTTTGAGCTTTTGGGGCCGGTTGTTGAAGAAGAGAGGATAAAAGAGCCATAGAGATACATGAAAAAAGACTCTGTCCTTAAGTATAAGACGTCCCAAAATGTAGCCCCTTACATCATATGAAATCCAGGAATTGCTTCGAATTCTTTTAGGTTCCGAAAACCCCACAAAGTGCTTTCGGAAGTCTATATAGCTTGAGGGGCTTAGAGACGGGTTTGGGTGGTTTGGGGTTGGGGCATGCCCAAATGCAGTTGAAAGCAATCGCTCGGCTGTAGACCTACTACTTCATGAAATCGCGAATCCCTGCACCCAAGCCCTCCTAAGCCCTCAAACCTTGAGCAAAGTCCTAAGCCATGACATGTCAAATCTGGGGTTTGGAGTTGAAGCCCTGACCCGAACCTCCCAAGCCGCAGCGAAACTTTTTCACAAGCCTCGTGTGATTTATCGACGACAGCAGATTAAGATGCCGTAATCGGGATCTGCAGTGAAGAATGTGGTTTCCTTATTCTGGTTACTGAAATATATAAGTTCCTCAACAATAATGTGGTTTCCTTATTATGTCTTCTTAAAATAATAATAATTCCTTATTAAAATATGAGCTCCTTATGAATATAATAACCCCTTAACCTTAACAGCCTCTCGAAGCCTTTCGCAGGTCTGGCGTAACGTGAGCCGAGAGGCGAAAAGCTTCATCGCTCTTTGCCTGGAGCTCGCGCCCGGGCCCCTCAGTGGGTCTCCGTGGCCTTTTTTTTTTCTGCTGATCCTATAGACCCTATAGAGCCTAAACTCTAAAGCCTTTGAACAAAGTTTGAAAGCCAAAACCCCTAAACAATAAACCCCAGACCCTAAACCCTAAACCCTAAACCGTGTTTCGGGGTTCGGAGGTTGGAAGCTCGGGTTTCGGAGGTTGGAAGCTCGGGTTTCGGAGGTTGGAAGCTCGGGTTTCGGGGGATTTTGGCCTTGCGTCTTGTGAAGCTTTGAGGTGTTCAGCAGGAGCTCCCAGCAGAGATCTGGTGCTCGCGGGTTTTGGGTAAGCGTGAATGATGCTACGGTTTAGGGTTTAGGGTTTAAAGCCCTAAACCCTAAACCCTTCCATGCTTGTGTTTGCTTTTCGTGTGTTAGCGGCTTTTTGGGGCTAGGTTCTCGCAATGTTCTAATGCGAACATTACTGAGATCATGCCATAGAAATATGATCGTTACCATCATCACCAATACCATCATTACGCTCGTCAGCAGTGGAATAGTCGTAGGAGTATTCCTTCCTGGTAAGATGTTCTGCCCCAGAGTTGAGACTAAGCCTGCCTTCGCACAAGCTCCCATAGCACGTCCTGGATGCCGTTTGGCTTCCTGCGCAACAGATTTGAATTTTTTCACAGCCACCACTTGGTGTTTTGAAGAGCCATATACCCTCGTGGTCCACATGATGTGGGTGTGCACTCTATTCCTCCTTTCCGGGGTGAGCTACGCACAGTGCGTGGGCAGCGGGTGCCAAGCACAAGACGACAAGGTGACCCTCCTCCAGCGTGGTAATTTCGCCTCCAATGATAAAAAGGCGGAGTGGGAGTGGAATGCTCCATTGGACTCAAAGTACAAGGGCATCTGCGACGGATGCATGATCTACAACAGTTTTAACCCAAGAACAAAGTGGTGCAACGTGGCAGCCGAAGCAGATGGCTCAGGAAGCAACGGCTGTCAAGACAGGAAGAAAGTCGGGGAAGCTTGCGGCGAAGACTACGAGTGCGTTTCGCAGTCCTGTTCACCGGAGCTCAAGACATGCGAATCAAGATGTCCACCTACTGACGCTGCTTGCTTTGCATTTCGGAGACCTTTTCCGTTTTGAGGTCAGCACATCGTCAGCTGTAAGCTAAGAGTGCACTTACAACATCTGCCACACGCAAATCCCAAATCTTTGGAAATGCGAATGGAGAACTGGGAGTGTTGGCCGCCCTGACCGCCTTGAGTCTCGTGTTCAACAGCTGACCCTTAAGCCCCAACTTTTAAGGCCTGTACTGCCTAAACCTTAACTCCTGAGCCTCAAAGAACCAAGGACTGGTGCTGGTACGAGACACTGGACACGAAGTTCGCGGACACCTGCGAGGATTGCATGAGCTCCTCGTGCCGGCTTTCAGTTTAGGGTTTAGGTTCCCGTCTGGTGGGGTTTGGGGGTTTAAAGTTTAGGTTGAGTTTTGTTAGTACAGGGGTCTGCGTCTGCATGCTTAACAATGATTTCCTTTAGACCCACTTACGAAGTCTTACGTCTTACGATATGAGAAGTATAACTTAACCTTATTGCCACTCCTATGGTAAAGGTTTCGGGTTTAATGTTTGTAGATGAATCTGTCGGTGGTAGACAGGAACAGCATGATTTAGGGTGGAGGGCTGCAGGATGTTTAAGGGTCATTTCGGAGTACAAGATTTGAGGCTTAGAGTGTTTCTTTTTACTATTCAGTCCTGGGGTTACGGCTCGTAGATGAAGCCAGCCCTCAGCCCTAAACACCCCAAACTTGGACTGTCAATAGAAGAACACGCCAGGTCAACTCTTATTTTTGAGACATGCCCACATTGAGGCTATGAGTTCTTTGACGCTTCCGCGAAGTGGTGTGACCGCGAGGCTACCCCCGATGGCTCCAAGAACAACGGCTGCCGACCAAAGAAGGAGGCCGCTCAGGATTCGGCCCTAGCTAAGAGCCCTACAGCACGCAGCTCTGAACCCCGAACCCTACGTTTGAAGGCTTAGGGCTTCTGGAGTTGGGGTGTTTGGGGTCTCGACTTTTGGCACCTTCTACGGGACATGTTATCCTAAATCCTGCCCTAAACCCTAAATCCTGAACCGGAAGCCGGCCCTCATCTTCCTAGGCAGGCGAAAGTTGCGGTGTAGACTACGAGTGCATCTCGGGTCTTTGCCAAGAAGACAAGTGCTATGACTACGTGCCTCACGCTTCTCGGTCGGTGGAGAGCTGTTTTCTGCTTCGTTTTTCAAAACTTTTTGAGGGGCTGTCAAGGCCTTGGCCCGAAGTCGTAAACTCTGGTGGCTGTTGACTTGAGGGCTTATGTAATGTTGGCAATAGTCGAAGTCTCGGCATCTATCGTAGCAGCTGGACAGCCAAGGATTTCAATGAGGACAAGCTTGAGAAGTAGAGTCGCATGGACATCGGTAGCTCTCAGGCCAGGAGTTTAAAGAGTGTTGCGGATTTGGGAATAGATGTAATACATAAGATGGTCTGTTTGATGGAAGCCACAACGAGAAAACACAGAAGAGTCCGCTCTCCCCAATAGCCTCCCCCCCTTGGAGGAGCTAAGAGATGCCCCTCCAAGGGGGGATTTAGTGTTCTGAGCGGGGAGGGATCCGTCTGAGCTTCCGGATTCCGATCGAATTCATTATATGTTTCCAGGGCCATCACGGCCCGAGACGAGACGGACTGCGGCCAAATGGCGCCGGCACTTTCCAAAAAGGGTGCGGAGTCCAGGGTCCCTAAACCCTAAACCCCTAAACCCTTAACCCTAAACCCTAAAGTCTAGAGTTGGAGACTTTCTCGGGTCGGGGTTCTTCTCGCCAGTACAGACATGTGAGGGCTCTTGTCCTGCTTAAGATTGCCGCAGAGTGTCCAAGCGATGCGATGTTGTCTTAGAAATGCCGCAGTCGTCTAAAGATCATCGCGTGAACCCTTGAACCCTGCACCCCCCAACTATGCCAGCACTGAATCTCAAAACCCAAGTCCCAAACCTCTCCCAAAATCCCAAACCTCCGAACGAGTGCGAATCCAGAATCCAAAAAACCCAGTCCAAGACGACCTTCAGCCAAAGAGCTGAACACCAACTGACGTAAAGCTGGGCTCACCGTCCCCGAAGGGAGTATTCTCTTCTTCTCATACTTAAGAGAACGCATCTTTCATGTTTATTGCAACAGAAATCCAAGCGGCTGTCAACACCACTATTTTTATGTTTGGGTCCAAGGGCCAAAGGACAGAAGCGTGCTCATCTCAGGCCAAGCGCGCGGCCACCCGCCAAGACGCTGCCGGGAACTCGGTTGAGGGTTGCAGTTTGCGGATTTTTTTTAGGAAAACCCTAAACCCTAAACCCTAAACCCTCCCTGCGGTGGGCCAGTCAGTTTGAAGCCCTGAGCACTCTCAAGACTGAGATCCCAGCCCGCCTTCCAGCCCTTGGCCCAAGTCCCCCTAAGCCCTAAGCCCTGAGCCCCAACAGATATAGACTTCAATCCGTTCATAAAGCTAACTTTAACATTAGAACTGGCACTACATTGCAAGAAAGTGCGGATAAAGCCCCCGAGCTCAGACCTGAACACCAAGCCCCAAATTACCCGGGAAGCCAAGCCCTGAATTCCTGTATTCGCAACCCGAACTGCGAAAAGGCTGGGCATGCCTTGGATGCAGATGGCTCGAGGAGCACTCGAGAGCTCAATGCGTCGGGTGCCCGGGGAAGGGCGGAAGACTCGTTCTTCGTTGGGTTCGTGTTGCCATGTACCCGTTTAACGTGCCGATGACCCTCACCTTGCGAGTACACCCGTTCCTTGTTCCTGGCCAGGCCAGAGGGTTTCTATATTGACCCAAAGGATTTGGTTGGAGTGAAGCTTTGTGAGGGATGAAGGTTTTAGGGAGTTTGGCTTCAGGGCTTTAGGCCTTGTCTTGAGGGTTGACCGGCTTGTGACCGGAAGCCATGTTGCACTGAGCTTCCTGCTGGAACGCTTAAACTCCTAAAATCGTACTCCCGTGACTGAAGCCACAGAAGACGCATGCGGTGGGTTCCAACGTTACAAGAGTAGAGGGATCTGGGGGCTTGGAGTGAAGTTTTGGGGTTCAGGGTAGTCCGGTATCGTCGCTGTACATGTATAGTCTAGGGTACCACATGCCCCAAGAACCTCCGAGGTAAGAGGGCCCTACTCGACCCTTCAACGTATCCCTTGAATGCCAAGCTCTGGCGTACCGGCTCGTGAGGTTTCGATGGTTTCGTGTGCCGTGCGAGGTCTTAGAGTTCAGGAGTTCAGCGAGGGATGGCGGGTGCAGGATGGCTTCTGCATCGTCGGGCAGATCTCGAGGTCTGACATCATCGGGTTTACATGTCTAGGACTTGTGGAGTCGGTGGGCCCTACACTCCTGAACCCTAAGCCGTTTGCAGCATTCCTCCTGTTATACGAGTTGAAGCATAGGACGGCAGCTGCAAAGAGCTTGACTGAGGCCCCAGCAAGAACATCCAGGTCGATATCATCGGGAACGCCGCCTGGTCTGAACAGAAACACCTCAAAGAGAGCTTAAGATATCAGCCCTCAGACCTAAAGCAACAAAGCTCTGCGGAAAGAAAAAGAACAAGCGCTCCAGAAAGCCTTAGGTTGCCAGATTTGGGGGCTGCAGGGATTAGTCGTACTAGTAGTGGTGGTGATGGTAGTGGCAGCGGCAGTGGTGGTGTCAGCAGTAGCAGTAGTAGTAGTAGTAGTAGTAGTAGTAGCAGCAGCAGCAGTAGCAGTAGTTAAGTACAAGTGCTCGTGCCAGTGCTGCTAGTGGTTAGTGTGCTTATTGCTATTGTTATTATTAGTAGTCGTCGTAGCAGTTGTGGCAGAAGGAAGAGTAGGAGTAGCAGGAGTGGTAGGAGTGGTTGTAGCGTAGTAGTACAAGCAGTAGCTGCCTGTCGAGTTTTTGGGCCTGAGCGCCCGGGACCCTGAAGCTCTTTAAGTCTTGAAGTCGTGAAACCCTGAACCCTTCTTCAGCCCCCCAAGGTGAGATCCTCAACCCGTATAGAACTCGTATGCACAGAAGCCCATTGAACCTCGAAGGACCATCCCGAAGTCTCATAGACGAAGCGCAGGCCCCGTTCGAGTCCCCACCTCCAGAGAGCCTTTTCCCCAAATCTCTGAGCCGTAGCCAAGTTCAAAACATCTTGATCCTGAAAGGCCCTAAACCTTTGAGGTTGAGCCTGAACGGTAAACCCTCCTGCTCACGTTCTGGAGTCGAAGCTTGACCGCTAATTCTAAACAGCCAGCCCGACAAGCCTAGGCCCAACCTCTCGACAAGGGGATCCCTACGCAGCGCAGCCCTGCGCCCTAAACTGGCCGAGGATGTGGACTCGATTCCTGCGCTGTCGAACACTGTGCACGGAACACCCGTCGGCCCGAGGCACACGTCTGGTTTGATTTAGGTTTAGGTCTTTATGACTGGAGGCTGGAGAGTTCCAGAGTCTTGGGCTTGGGGTGTGTGGTCCAGGTAGTTGGGAGGAGGGTGCAGGTGTGGGCTTTAAGGCTTTGGTGTTTAAGGTTTTGCATCTGGGTGTGCGGGGATTTTGTAACTTTGTTTGGGTGCTCCGCGCAAGTTGGACAAGCCAGTGTCATTTGTGTAGTTGTCAAAATTGCGGTCCCCGGAATGACTACACTTCATCGCTGCTATGCTTTGCGACACTTTTGCGACCCATGAGAGGGCTGAAGAGGTTCAGAGGTCCTTAGCTCTCTCGCCAGGGAATGGTCCTTTAGATGAGTTCTCACATGAGCGTACATGTTCGTGATGTTCGTCTAAGGAGATCGTAAAACAAGTGCAATAGCACAACTTCAAATCAGATCAAGAAGCTATATGATACGATTTGAGGAAATTCCTCTGTTTTTATGCGGGGGTTCAGGGCTTTATTGGGCAGCACCAGGGAGCAACTTCTGAACAGGCTTTGCTTCGATGACGATCCGCTGCCGCGATCACACAGCGAGCAGTCGAACCTGCAACCGGCCTCAGTGGGAACTTTGGAGCTTTTGCGGTCTATTCAGAACAGTTTTTCTGTGTTGGGGATCTTGAGTTTTGGGCGTAGGGTGTGGGGCTTCGGGGTGTGGAGATTACGGTTCAGATGAAGGTTGAGGGTGTGACGTTGCGGGGGGGGGGGGGGGTCTAGCGCTCCGAGTACAGTGTATAAGCTGCAGGCTTTTGAGTAGTTTTTGGGGGCCATAACCTTAAGCTATGAATGCCTACCTAGACCTACCTGCAGGGTTGGAACTCCTGCAACACAATATAGGGCTTCGGGGTTCTCTCCGAAAAAGGAGGGAGTAGTAGACCTCTGCCTTACAGAGCTATAGAGTCACGCAGCAGAGGTCCCCAACATAGACCGTAACTGGCAGCTTGGTTCATATAAGCAGCTTGGTCTTTGGGATTGGGGTGGAGTGTCTCCGGAAGCCTTCACCAAGGATCCGTAGGCCCGAAATGCTTTTGTTTCGGGCCCTCCTTTTTGAGTTTTGGCTTAGGGCTTTAAGTTTTTTAAGGCTTGGGGCTGAGGGCGACGGCTTACTTTACTTTCCTCGCAGCCATCAGTTTTGCAGAAACAAATTCACTTACCTTCATCCGGCTGTCTGCCGAAAGAGATTCCCTGCCATGGCCAAGAAGACCGCAATTGGTATCGACGCCTGGCCTGCCTGGTGTTTGGGTATGTCGGGGTTCAGGTTTCGAAACGATTTGCGGTTAGGGTTTGCGCTTTTGCGTTTAGGGCTGAAAACAAAAACTCATGAGCCCATATAGACCGGGTCGCGAACTTTCTCAGAACTGTTGAGCTCCACCTCAAAAGGGGAGCTACTGGCGGGGTTGAGAGTCGGGTCTGTTTTTTCGCTGTAGGGCTTATGTAAATTTACAGTTAGGCCGAAACCCAAACCCCAAACCCCAAACGCTGAATGTTAAGCGCTAGCGAAACCTCCAAACATCCAGTAGGATCTTGGCACTACGTACAGCTGCGTCGGCGTGTGGAAGAACGATGGTGTGGAAATCATCGCCAACGATCAGGACCGGATGGAGCCGTAAAGCCCAAGCCAAGCCCTTTGGATTTCGGGTGCAGCTCCAAGCACTGAGAGAGGCGTTTTTATAAATCGAAGATGTCAGAGCTTGCATGTATACTACTCTGTGAAAATTTCGCAGCCGTGGAGATACCAGCCTGCCTGCCAGTGGTCAGTAGACCCTAAGCCACAGGCCCGGTTGGTTTGCGCTACAGAGGGTCTGCTCAGAATGGTAGTCATTGATCCAAGCCATGCGCCGTTGCAGAACACGTGCCAAGCCCTTCTAGAGCTTGAATGAAGTCCTCCCAATCGAAATACCGAATGGATCAGCCAGGGCAACCGAACGACTCCCTCCTACGTGGCCTTCACGGACACCGAGCGTTTGATCCTTGGGCTATATAATTTGGGGGTTGAGGATTGGGATTCGCTGTAACTGTGACGAGAGCAATCGTTTCGGAATTCGGAAAGTCCGCGCCATCCGAAATCTCTCCTCCGAGAAAGGGCTTCTGTGGGGCCATTCTTTTCTTGGTTGTCCAGCAAGTGAATCTCAGGATCGGCGACGCCGCCAAGAACCAGGTTGCACGCAACCCCGAGAACACGGCCAGCAGCCGGCTATCAGAGTCTTTTCACGGTGATTTTCCGTGTAAGGTTTAGGGTTTTTAGGGTGCCCTTCGAACTTCATGTCCAGCAGTGGCTGCAGCAAGTGAGGTCTTCGACGCCAAGCGCCTGATTGGCCGCAAGTTCCAGGACCCCATCGTGCAGTCCGACATCAAGCTGTGGCCCTTCAAGTGCGTCGCCGGCCCCAGCGACAAGCCGCTGATCGTGGTCCAAGTGGAGGGCGAGGACAGCTTCAAAGCGCAGGGTTGAAGGCATTGACGCCTGAATTCTTTTTCGTTTGGTGGTGACACTGACCGTATAGTATCCCACCCAGTCCCGCTTCTTCCGCAGGAAAAGAAATTCCATCCAGAAGAAATTTCCTCCATGGTGCTCCTGAAGATGAAGGAGACTGCAGAGGCTTACCTCGGCACGAAGCTCAACGATGCCGTGGTGACGGTTCCCGCATACTTCAACGACTCGCAGCGTCAGGCCACCAAGGATGCGGGCACCATCTCAGGAATGAACGTGCTGCGTATCATCAACGAGCGCCTCCACTTAAGTAGCACCTTCTTAACTTTCGGGTCTGTCTTACGGACTGGTTTTCATCAGAGTTTAAGATTGCGCATCTTTTCAGCGGAGGGAGGGAGCATGCCACCGCTTCCGATGTTTCTCCTGGTCATGAGGCCAACTGCAGCGGCCATTGCCTATGGCCTGGACAAGAAGGGTTCCGGCGAAAGGAATGTCCTCATCTATGAGCTTTGGCTTGCACGTTGCAGCCCTGTCGCTTCACAGGGGAAAACCTTGGTTTGTTGTGATGTTCATGATCGATCCGTGGTGTGCATGCGCCAGGATATGGGAGGTGGCACTTTCGATGTCTCGCTCCTGACCATCGAGGATGGCATTTTCGAGGTGAAGGTGCCCACTCATCTGAAGTAAGCCCGCAGCTTGCTGCCGGGTTTTTGACATGATGGGCTGAATCTGGTTTTGTCAGTTGGTCATTGCTTTGGGTTGGAGCTGCAGAGGCCACTGCTGGCGACACCCATTTGGGCGGTGAGGACTTCGACAATCGCGTGGTGGACTTCTGCATGCAGGACTTCAAGTGTCCTGGCAGAGTCTCGCAGGATTTTCTGGGGCGCAGGCGAGGCATAGCTTTTCCTTTTCTTTGCGGATTTTTCTGGGGTTTGCGCTCCCGCCCGAGGCGCAAGAACCGTGGCAAGGACATGGCAGGCAACCAGCGTGCCATCCGACGTCTGCGAACGCAGTGCGAGCGGGCCAAGCGCACGCTCTCTTCCTCCACGCAGGCCACCATCGAGATCGACTCCCTCTTCGAGGGCATCGACTACTCGTGCTCTTTGTCCCGTGCCCGGTTCGAGGAGTTGTGCATGGACTACTTCCGCAACTCCATGGGTCCTGTGGAGAAGTGCCTCAAGGACTCTGGCATCGACAAGAAGAGTGTGCACGATGTGGTGCTGGTCGGTGGCTCCACGCGCATTCCCAAGGTGCAGTCCATGATCCAAGAGTTCTTCAATGGCAAGGAGCCGAACAGGTCCATCAACCCTGATGAGGCAGTGGCCTATGGTGCCGCAGTGCAGGCCGCTATTCTGACTGGTGAGGGCTCGTCCCAGGTGCAGGACCTGCTGCTGCTGGACGTGACGCCTCTGTCCATGGGTCTGGAGACCGCGGGTGGCGTGATGACCAAGCTCATCGAGCGCAACACTACCATCCCGACGAAGAAGGCAATGTCGGTGCAGTAGATTCGTAGATGCCACATTAGGCGTTGCTCTGCGAGCCATGAACACCGAACATTCTCCTCAGAGCAGAAGCAACCTAACGGTGAATCACAGTCCGGTGCACTGCTGCACCAGCTCTAAGGAGCCAGATCGCTAGACGCAGCAACATGAACGGTGCGACAACCCTAGCGAAGCAGACGTGTTGAGTGCGACCTGCAGGCCCAGACCTTCACCACCTACGCCGACAACCAGCCGGGCGTGTTGATCCAGGTCTTCGAGGGCGAGCGTGCCATGACGAAGGACAACAACTTGCTGGGCAAGTTCCACTTGGACGGCATTCCGCCGGCCCCGCGTGGTGTGCCGCAGATTGAGGTGACCTACGACATCGATGCCAACGGCATTCTGAACGTCAGCGCTTCGGACAAGTCCACGGGCAAGTCCAATCAGATTACGATCACCAACGAATCTTGGGCCGCGCTGGCAAGGCGCAGTAGATATTTCCCACGCCTGGGCTTTTCAGGCCTCAGGCAGGCACGAGCAGGGTCGCAAGTTTGGCTTCAGCGTAAGATCTTGGATCGAAAGAGTCGCGTAGACTCAGGAGAAGGGCCGCTTGTCGCAGTCCGAGATCGACCGCATGGTGCAGGAAGCAGCGACTTGCAAGGCTTTATGACTAGATACTCAGAGTTCTCAAGAGCCTCAGTCCCGGAAGATCTTTGCACTCCCGAGCAGAACTAAGGAGAAGTTCCGCGCCGAAGACGAGGCCAACAAGCTGAAGATCGAGGCGAAGAACGGCCTTGAGAACTACTGCTTCACCATGCGCAACACCTTGAACGAGGAGAAACTGAAGGACAAGTTCGAGGGCGGCGACAAGGAGAAGATCGAGAGCGCCGTGCAGGAGACCCTGGACTGGTTGGACAAGAACCAGCTCGCTGAGAAGGACGAGTTCGAGGCCAAGCAGAAGGAGCTCGAGGGCATCGTGAACCCCATCATGATGAAGGTCTACCAGGCGGCTGGCGGTGGCGGCATGCCCGAGGGTGGCATGCCCGGTGGCGGCATGGGCGGCGCCCCCGGCGGCGCCAGCGGCCCGACCGTTGAGGAGGTTGACTAGGCCTGAGGCCATGCATAGTGCAAGGCAGGCACTCGTGCACAATGCGTTCTCGCTAGCCAGCCTGCGAATCTAGCCGCCTGGCACAGGCACCCCTCCAGAAACAGGAATGTAACCCGGTGCTGTACAGTGCATGCCGGAAAAGGAGGGGAGAACCGTTCATGCCTTTCCCCAACACTTGTAAGCATCATTGCGCAAGACATTTGCTGGACTTGGGCACTTTACTTGTCATGCTGCTTCTTCCGCAGCCATCAATTCAATTTTGCCATACGTAGCATCCTGTGAATTTTGTCCTTAAGCGCCATGGCCAAGAAGACCGCAATCGGTATCGACACTCGGCTTTCCATGACTCTGTGCCCACCTAAGCATTAAGCATCGCAGACAATGATCTCTGATAGCTGTCGGGGCCGCAGGGTCGCAGTTCTAAGGACCTTGGCACCACGTACAGCTGTGTGGGCGTGTGGAAGAACGATGGCGTTGAAATCATCGCCAACGATCAGGACACGGATGGAGCTCAACCTTAAGTTCTCACCTCCCCAAGCCCTGGGCAACCCTCTGGGTTTGGAGTTTAGCTCGAAGCACTGAGAGAGCGCTTATGTTACAGGTTTCATGTACAGTATAGTCATTGATCCAAGCCAGACGCCGTTGCAGAACACCTGCAACCCCCTTCTAGCACTTGAATGAAGTCCTCCCAATCGGAATACCGAATGGATCAGCCAGGGCAACCGAACGACTCCCTCCTACGTGGCCTTCACGGACACCGAGCGTTTGATCCTTGGGCTATATAATTTGGGGGTTGAGGATTGGGATTTGCTGTAACTGTGACGAGAGCAATCGTTTCGGAATTCGGAAAGTCCGCGCCATCCGAAATCTCTCCTCCGAGAAAGGGCTTCTGTGGGGCCATTCTTTTCTTGGTTGTCCAGCAAGTGAATCTCAGGATCGGCGACGCCGCCAAGAACCAGGTTGCACGCAACCCCGAGAACACGGCCAGCAGCCGGCTATCAGAGTCTTTTCACGGTGATTTTCCGTGTAAGGTTTAGGGTTTTTAGGGTGCCCTTCGAACTTCATGTCCAGCAGTGGCTGCAGCAAGTGAGGTCTTCGACGCCAAGCGCCTGATTGGCCGCAAGTTCCAGGACCCCATCGTGCAGTCCGACATCAAGCTGTGGCCCTTCAAGTGCGTCGCCGGCCCCAGCGACAAGCCGCTGATCGTGGTCCAAGTGGAGGGCGAGGACAGCTTCAAAGCGCAGGGTTGAAGGCATTGACGCCTGAATTCTTTTTCGTTTGGTGGTGACACTGACCGTATAGTATCCCACCCAGTCCCGCTTCTTCCGCAGGAAAAGAAATTCCATCCAGAAGAAATTTCCTCCATGGTGCTCCTGAAGATGAAGGAGACCGCAGAGGCTTACCTCGGCACGAAGCTCAACGATGCCGTGGTGACGGTTCCCGCGTACTTCAACGACTCGCAGCGTCAGGCCACCAAGGATGCGGGCACCATCTCAGGAATGAACGTGCTGCGTATCATCAACGAGCGCCTCCGCTTAAGTAGCACCTTCTTAACTTTCGGGTCTGTCTTACGGACTGGTTTCATCAGAGTTTAAGATTGCGCATCTTTTCAGCGGAGGGAGGGAGCATGCCACCGCTTCCGATGTTTCTCCTGGTCATGAGGCCAACTGCAGCGGCCATTGCCTATGGCCTGGACAAGAAGGGTTCCGGCGAAAGGAATGTCCTCATCTATGAGCTTTGGCTTGCACGTTGCAGCCCTGTCGCTTCACAGGGGAAAACCTTGGTTTGTTGTGACGTTCATGATCGATCCGTGGTGTGCATGGCCAGGATATGGGAGGTGGCACTTTCGATGTCTCGCTCCTGACCATCGAGGATGGCATTTTCGAGGTGAAGGTGCCCACTCATCTGAAGTAAGCCCAGCTTGCTGCCGGGTTTTTGACATGATGGGCTGAATCTGGTTTTGTCAGTTGGTCATTGCTTTGGGTTGGAGCTGCAGAGGCCACTGCTGGCGACACCCATTTGGGCGGTGAGGACTTCGACAATCGCGTGGTGGACTTCTGCATGCAGGACTTCAAGTGTCCTGGCAGAGTCTCGCAGGATTTTCTGGGGCGCAGGCGAGGCATAGCTTTTCCTTTTCTTGCGGATTTTTCTGGGGTTTGCGCTCCCGCCCGAGGCGCAAGAACCGTGGCAAGGACATGGCAGGCAACCAGCGTGCCATCCGACGTCTGCGAACGCAGTGCGAGCGGGCCAAGCGCACGCTCTCTTCCTCCACGCAGGCCACCATCGAGATCGACTCCCTCTTCGAGGGCATCGACTACTCGTGCTCTTTGTCCCGTGCCCGGTTCGAGGAGTTGTGCATGGACTACTTCCGCAACTCCATGGGTCCTGTGGAGAAGTGCCTCAAGGACTCTGGCATCGACAAGAAGAGTGTGCACGATGTGGTGCTGGTCGGTGGCTCCACGCGCATTCCCAAGGTGCAGTCCATGATCCAAGAGTTCTTCAATGGCAAGGAGCCGAACAGGTCCATCAACCCTGATGAGGCAGTGGCCTATGGTGCCGCAGTGCAGGCCGCTATTCTGACTGGTGAGGGCTCGTCCCAGGTGCAGGACCTGCTGCTGCTGGACGTGACGCCTCTGTCCATGGGTCTGGAGACCGCGGGTGGCGTGATGACCAAGCTCATCGAGCGCAACACTACCATCCCGACGAAGAAGGCAATGTCGGTGTAGTAGATTCGTAGATGCCACATTAGGCGTTGCTCTGCGAGCCATGAACACCGAACATTCTCCTCAGAGCAGAAGCAACCTAACGGTGAATCACAGTCCGGTGCACTGCTGCACCAGCTCTAAGGAGCCAGATCGCTAGACGCAGCAACATGAACGGTGCGACAACCCTAGCGAAGCAGACGTGTTGAGTGCGACCTGCAGGCCCAGACCTTCACCACCTACGCCGACAACCAGCCGGGCGTGTTGATCCAGGTCTTCGAGGGCGAGCGTGCCATGACGAAGGACAACAACTTGCTGGGCAAGTTCCACTTGGACGGCATTCCGCCGGCCCCGCGTGGTGTGCCGCAGATTGAGGTGACCTACGACATCGATGCCAACGGCATTCTGAACGTCAGCGCTTCGGACAAGTCCACGGGCAAGTCCAATCAGATTACGATCACCAACGAATCTTGGGCCGCGCTGGCAAGGCGCAGTAGATATTTCCCACGCCTGGGCTTTTCAGGCCTCAGGCAGGCACGAGCAGGGTCGCAAGTTTGGCTTCAGCGTAAGATCTTGGATCGAAAGAGTCGCGTAGACTCAGGAGAAGGGCCGCTTGTCGCAGTCCGAGATCGACCGCATGGTGCAGGAAGCAGCGACTTGCAAGGCTTTATGACTAGATACTCAGAGTTCTCAAGAGCCTCAGTCCCGGAAGATCTTTGCACTCCCGAGCAGAACTAAGGAGAAGTTCCGCGCCGAAGACGAGGCCAACAAGCTGAAGATCGAGGCGAAGAACGGCCTTGAGAACTACTGCTTCACCATGCGCAACACCTTGAACGAGGAGAAACTGAAGGACAAGTTCGAGGGCGGCGACAAGGAGAAGATCGAGAGCGCCGTGCAGGAAACCCTGGACTGGTTGGACAAGAACCAGCTCGCTGAGAAGGACGAGTTCGAGGCCAAGCAGAAGGAGCTCGAGGGCATCGTGAACCCCATCATGATGAAGGTCTACCAGGCGGCTGGCGGTGGCGGCATGCCCGAGGGTGGCATGCCCGGTGGCGGCATGGGCGGCGCCCCCGGCGGCGCCAGCGGCCCGACCGTTGAGGAGGTTGACTAGGCCTGAGGCCATGCATAGTGCAAGGCAGGCGCTCGTGCGCAATGCGTTCTCGCCAGCTAGCCTGCGAATCACGCCGCCTGGCACAGGCACCCCTCCAGAGACAGGAATGTACCCCGGTGCTGTACAGTGCATGCCGGAAAAGGAGGGGAGAACCGTTCATTTGCTGGACTTGGGCACTTTACTTGTCATGCTGCTTCTTCCGCAGCCATCAATTCAATTTTGCCATACGTAGCATCCTGTGAATTTTGTCCTTAAGCGCCATGGCCAAGAAGACCGCAATCGGTATCGACACTCGGCTTTCCATGACTCTGTGCCCACCTAAGCATTAAGCATCGCAGACAATGATCTCTGCTAGCTGTCGGGGCCGCAGGGTCGCAGTTCTAAGGACCTTGGCACCACGTACAGCTGTGTGGGCGTGTGGAAGAACGATGGCGTTGAAATCATCGCCAACGATCAGGACACGGATGGAGCTCAACCTTAAGTTCTCACCTCCCCAAGCCCTAGGCAACCCTCTGGGTTTGGAGTTTAGCTCGAAGCACTGAGAGAGCGCTTATGTTACAGGTTTCATGTGCAGTATACTACCTCTTGTTCGGTCGAGATCATAGTCTCTGTGCCAGTAAACCCGAATCATGTAATCCACAGGCCCGGTTGGTGTGCGCTTCTAAGAATGGTAGTCATTGATCCAAGCCAGACGCCGTTGCAGAACACCTGCAACCCCCTTCTAGCACTTGAATGAAGTCCTCCCAATCGAAATACCGAATGGATCAGCCAGGGCAACCGAACGACTCCCTCCTACGTGGCCTTCACGGACACCGAGCGTTTGATCCTTGGGCTATATAATTTGGGGGTTGAGGATTGGGATTCGCTGTAACTGTGACGAGAGCAATCGTTTCGGAATTCGGAAAGTCCGCGCCATCCGAAATCTCTCCTCCGAGAAAGGGCTTCTGTGGGGCCATTCTTTTCTTGGTTGTCCAGCAAGTGAATCTCAGGATCGGCGACGCCGCCAAGAACCAGGTTGCACGCAACCCCGAGAACACGGCCAGCAGCCGGCTATCAGAGTCTTTTCACGGTGATTTTCCGTGTAAGGTTTAGGGTTTTTAGGGTGCCCTTCGAACTTCATGTCCAGCAGTGGCTGCAGCAAGTGAGGTCTTCGACGCCAAGCGCCTGATTGGCCGCAAGTTCCAGGACCCCATCGTGCAGTCCGACATCAAGCTGTGGCCCTTCAAGTGCGTCGCCGGCCCCAGCGACAAGCCGCTGATCGTGGTCCAAGTGGAGGGCGAGGACAGCTTCAAAGCGCAGGGTTGAAGGCATTGACGCCTGAATTCTTTTTCGTTTGGTGGTGACACTGACCACATAGTGTCCCACCCAGTCCCGCTTCTTCCGCAGGAAAAGAAATTCCATCCAGAAGAAATTTCCTCCATGGTGCTCCTGAAGATGAAGGAGACCGCAGAGGCTTACCTCGGCACGAAGCTCAACGATGCCGTGGTGACGGTTCCCGCATACTTCAACGACTCGCAGCGTCAGGCCACCAAGGATGCGGGCACCATCTCAGGAATGAACGTGCTGCGTATCATCAACGAGCGCCTCCACTTAAGTAGCACCTTCTTAACTTTCGGGTCTGTCTTACGGACTGGTTTTCATCAGAGTTTAAGATTGCGCATCTTTTCAGCGGAGGGAGGGAGCATGCCACCGCTTCCGATGTTTCTCCTGGTCATGAGGCCAACTGCAGCGGCCATTGCCTATGGCCTGGACAAGAAGGGTTCCGGCGAAAGGAATGTCCTCATCTATGAGCTTTGGCTTGCACGTTACAGCCCTGTCGCTTCACAGGGGAAAACCTTGGTTTGTTGTGATGTTCATGATCGATCCGTGGTGTGCGTGCGCCAGGATATGGGAGGTGGCACTTTCGATGTCTCGCTCCTGACCATCGAGGATGGCATTTTCGAGGTGAAGGTGCCCACTCATCTGAAGTAAGCCCAGCTTGCTGCCGGGTTTTTGACATGATGGGCTGAATCTGGTTTTGTCAGTTGGTCATTGCTTTGGGTTGGAGCTGCAGAGGCCACTGCTGGCGACACCCATTTGGGCGGTGAGGACTTCGACAATCGCGTGGTGGACTTCTGCATGCAGGACTTCAAGTGTCCTGGCAGAGTCTCGCAGGATTTTCTGGGGCGCAGGCGAGGCATAGCTTTTCCTTTTCTGGGGTTTGCGCTCCCGCCCGAGGCGCAAGAACCGTGGCAAGGACATGGCAGGCAACCAGCGTGCCATCCGACGTCTGCGAACGCAGTGCGAGCGGGCCAAGCGCACGCTCTCTTCCTCCACGCAGGCCACCATCGAGATCGACTCCCTCTTCGAGGGCATCGACTACTCGTGCTCTTTGTCCCGTGCCCGGTTCGAGGAGTTGTGCATGGACTACTTCCGCAACTCCATGGGTCCTGTGGAGAAGTGCCTCAAGGACTCTGGCATCGACAAGAAGAGTGTGCACGATGTGGTGCTGGTCGGTGGCTCCACGCGCATTCCCAAGGTGCAGTCCATGATCCAAGAGTTCTTCAATGGCAAGGAGCCAAACAGGTCCATCAACCCTGATGAGGCAGTGGCCTATGGTGCCGCAGTGCAGGCCGCTATTCTGACTGGTGAGGGCTCGTCCCAGGTGCAGGACCTGCTGCTGCTGGACGTGACGCCTCTGTCCATGGGTCTGGAGACCGCGGGTGGCGTGATGACCAAGCTCATCGAGCGCAACACTACCATCCCGACGAAGAAGGCAATGTCGGTGTAGTAGATTCGTAGATGCCACATTAGGCGTTGCTCTGCGAGCCATGAACACCGAACATTCTCCTCAGAGCAGAAGCAACCTAACGGTGAATCACAGTCCGGTGCACTGCTGCACCAGCTCTAAGGAGCCAGATCGCTAGACGCATCTAGACGCAGCAACATGAACGGTGCGACAACCCTAGTGAAGCAGACGTGTTGAGTGCGACCTGCAGGCCCAGACCTTCACCACCTACGCCGACAACCAGCCGGGCGTGTTGATCCAGGTCTTCGAGGGCGAGCGTGCCATGACGAAGGACAACAACTTGCTGGGCAAGTTCCACTTGGACGGCATTCCGCCGGCCCCGCGTGGTGTGCCGCAGATTGAGGTGACCTACGACATCGATGCCAACGGCATTCTGAACGTCAGCGCTTCGGACAAGTCCACGGGCAAGTCCAATCAGATTACGATCACCAACGAATCTTGGGCCGCGCTGGCAAGGCGCAGTAGATATTTCGGCTTTTCAGGCCTCAGGCAGGCACGAGCAGGGTCGCAAGTTTGGCTTCAGCGTAAGATCTTGGATCGAAAGAGTCGCGTAGACTCAGGAGAAGGGCCGCTTGTCGCAGTCCGAGATCGACCGCATGGTGCAGGAAGCAGCGACTTGCAAGGCTTTATGACTAGATACTCAGAGTTCTCAAGAGCCTCAGTCCCGGAAGATCTTTGCACTCCCGAGCAGAACTAAGGAGAAGTTCCGCGCCGAAGACGAGGCCAACAAGCTGAAGATCGAGGCGAAGAACGGCCTTGAGAACTACTGCTTCACCATGCGCAACACCTTGAACGAGGAGAAACTGAAGGACAAGTTCGAGGGCGGCGACAAGGAGAAGATCGAGAGCGCCGTGCAGGAGACCCTGGACTGGTTGGACAAGAACCAGCTTGCTGAGAAGGACGAGTTCGAGGCCAAGCAGAAGGAGCTCGAGGGCATCGTGAACCCCATCATGATGAAGGTCTACCAGGCGGCTGGCGGTGGCGGCATGCCCGAGGGTGGCATGCCCGGTGGCGGCATGGGCGGCGCCCCCGGCGGCGCCAGCGGCCCGACCGTTGAGGAGGTTGACTAGGCCTGAGGCCATGCACAGTGCAAGGCAGGCGCTCGTGCGCAATGCGTTCTCGCCAGCTAGCCTGCGAATCACGCCGCCTGGCACAGGCACCCCTCCAGAGACAGGAATGTACCCCGGTGCTGTACAGTGCATGCCGCGGAAAAGGAGGGGAGAACCGTTCATTTGCTGGACTTGGGCACTTTACTTGTCATGCTGCTTCTTCCGCAGCCATCAATTCAATTTTGCCATACGTAGCATCCTGTGAATTTTGTCCTTAAGCGCCATGGCCAAGAAGACCGCAATCGGTATCGACACTCGGCTTTCCATGACTCTGTGCCCACCTAAGCATTAAGCATCGCAGACAATGATCTCTGCTAGCTGTCGGGGCCGCAGGGTCGCAGTTCTAAGGACCTTGGCACCACGTACAGCTGTGTGGGCGTGTGGAAGAACGATGGCGTTGAAATCATCGCCAACGATCAGGACACGGATGGAGCTCAACCTTAAGTTCTCACCTCCCCAAGCCCTAGGCAACCCTCTGGGTTTGGAGTTTAGCTCGAAGCACTGAGAGAGCGCTTATGTTACAGGTTTCATGTACAGTATACTACCTCTTGTTCGGTCAAGATCATAGTCTCTGTGCCAGTAAACCCTAATCATCTAATCGACAGGCCCGGTTGGTGTGCGTTTCTAAGAATGGTAGTCATTGATCCAAGCCAGACGCCGTTGCAGAACACCTGCAACCCCCTTCTAGCACTTGAATGAAGTCCTCCCAATCGAAATACCGAATGGATCAGCCAGGGCAACCGAACGACTCCCTCCTACGTGGCCTTCACGGACACCGAGCGTTTGATCCCTGGGCTATATAATTTGGGGGTTGAGGATTGGGATTCGCTGTAACTGTGACGAGAGCAATCGTTTCGGAATTCGGAAAGTCCGCGCCATCCGAAATCCCTCCTCCGAGAAAGGGCTTCTGTGGGGCCATTCTTTTCTTGGTTGTCCAGCAAGTGAATCTCAGGATCGGCGACGCCGCCAAGAACCAGGTTGCACGCAGCCCCGAGAACACGGCCAGCAGCCGGCTATCAGAGTCTTTTCACGGTGATTTTCCGTGTAAGGTTTAGGGTTTTTAGGGTGCCCTTCGAACTTCATGTCCAGCAGTGGCTGCAGCAAGTGAGGTCTTCGACGCCAAGCGCCTGATTGGCCGCAAATTCCAGGACCCCATCGTGCAGTCTGACATCAAGCTGTGGCCCTTCAAGTGCGTCGCCGGTCCCAGCGACAAGCCGTTGATAGTGGTCCAAGTGGAGGGTGAGGACAGCTTCAAAGCGCAGGGTTGAAGGCATTGACGCCTGAAATCTTTTTCGTTTGGTGGTGACACTGACCACATAGTGTCCCACCCAGTCCCGCTTCTTCCGCAGGAAAAGAAATTCCATCCAGAAGAAATTTCCTCCATGGTGCTCCTGAAGATGAAGGAGACCGCAGAGGCTTACCTCGGCACGAAGCTCAACGATGCCGTGGTGACGGTTCCCGCATACTTCAACGACTCGCAGCGTCAGGCCACCAAGGATGCGGGCACCATCTCGGGAATGAACGTGCTGCGTATCATCAACGAGCGCCTCCACTTAAGTAGCACCTTCTTAACTTTCGGGTCTGTCTTACGGACTGGTTTTCATCAGAGTTTAAGATTGCGCATCTTTTCAGCGGAGGGAGGGAGCATGCCACCGCTTCCGATGTTTCTCCTGGTCATGAGGCCAACTGCAGCGGCCATTGCCTATGGCCTGGACAAGAAGGGTTCCGGCGAAAGGAATGTCCTCATCTATGAGCTTCGGCTTGCACGTTACAGCCCTGTCGCTTCACAGGGGAAAACCTTGGTTTGTTGTGATGTTCATGATCGATCCGTGGTGTGCGTGCGCCAGGATATGGGAGGTGGCACTTTCGATGTCTCGCTCCTGACCATCGAGGATGGCATTTTCGAGGTGAAGGTGCCCACTCATCTGAAGTTTGGGTGCTGGCCGGTTTAGAGCTAATCCAACATCCTTCATGCAGATCTCTCAAGCCCAGCTTGCTGCAGGGTTTTTGACATGATGGGCTGAATCTGGTTTTGTCAGTTGGTCATTGCTTTGGGTTGGAGCTGCAGAGGCCACTGCTGGCGACACCCATTTGGGCGGTGAGGACTTCGACAATCGCGTGGTGGACTTCTGCATCCAGGACTTCAAGTGCCCTGGCAGAGCCTTCGCAGGATTGTCTAGGGCGCAAGCGAGGTACAGCTTTCCCATTCCTTTGAGGATTTTTCTGGGGTTGTGCTTCCGCCCGAGGCGCAAGAACCGTGGCAAGGACATGGCAGGCAACCAGCGTGCCATCCGACGTCTGCGAACACAGTGCGAGCGGGCCAAGCGCACGCTCTCTTCCTCCACGCAGGCCACCATCGAGATCGACTCCCTCTTCGAGGGCATCGACTACTCGTGCTCTTTGTCCCGTGCCCGGTTCGAGGAGTTGTGCATGGACTACTTCCGCAACTCCATGGGTCCTGTGGAGAAGTGCCTCAAGGACTCTGGCATCGACAAGAAGAGTGTGCACGATGTGGTGCTGGTCGGTGGCTCCACGCGCATTCCCAAGGTGCAGTCCATGATCCAAGAGTTCTTCAATGGCAAGGAGCCGAACAGGTCCATCAACCCTGATGAGGCAGTGGCCTATGGTGCCGCAGTGCAGGCCGCTATTCTGACTGGTGAGGGCTCGTCCCAGGTGCAGGACCTGCTGCTGCTGGACGTGACGCCTTTGTCCATGGGTCTGGAGACCGCGGGTGGCGTGATGACCAAGCTCATCGAGCGCAACACTACCATCCCAACGAAGAAGGCATTGTCGGTGTTGTAATTGTAGATTCGTAGATGCCACGTCAGGCGTTGCACACAACTCATCGCATTTCTCGATGCTCTGCGAGCCATGAACACCGAACATTCTCCTCAGAGCAGACGCAACCTAATGGTGAATCACACTCCGGTCCACTGCTGCGCCAGCTGCGTAGCTGAGGCCTCTAAGGAGCCAGATCGCTAGACGCAGCAACATGAACGGTGCGACAACCCTAGTGAAGCAGACGTGTTGAGTGCGGCCTGCAGGCCCAGACCTTCACCACCTACGCCGACAACCAGCCGGGCGTGTTGATCCAGGTCTTCGAGGGCGAGCGTGCCATGACGAAGGACAACAACTTGCTGGGCAAGTTCCACTTGGACGGCATTCCGCCGGCCCCGCGTGGTGTGCCGCAGATTGAGGTGACCTACGACATCGATGCCAACGGCATTCTGAACGTCAGCGCTTCGGACAAGTCCACGGGCAAGTCTAATCAGATTACGATCACCAACGAATCTTGGACCGCTGGCACTGTCGACAGGGCTTTTCAGGCCTCAGGCAGGCACGAGCAGGGTCGCAAGTTTGGCTTCAGCGTAAGATCTTGGATCGAAAGAGTCGCGTAGACTCAGGAGAAGGGCCGCTTGTCGCAGTCCGAGATCGACCGCATGGTGCAGGAAGCAGCGACTTGCAAGGCTTTATGACTAGATACTCAGAGTTCTCAAGAGCCTCAGTCCCGGAAGATCTTTGCACTCCCGAGCAGAACTAAGGAGAAGTTCCGCGCCGAAGACGAGGCCAACAAGCTGAAGATCGAGGCGAAGAACGGCCTTGAGAACTACTGCTTCACCATGCGCAACACCTTGAACGAGGAGAAACTGAAGGACAAGTTCGAGGGCGGCGACAAGGAGAAGATCGAGAGCGCCGTGCAGGAGACCCTGGACTGGTTGGACAAGAACCAGCTTGCTGAGAAGGACGAGTTCGAGGCCAAGCAGAAGGAGCTCGAGGGCATCGTGAACCCCATCATGATGAAGGTCTACCAGGCGGCTGGCGGTGGCGGCATGCCCGAGGGTGGCATGCCCGGTGGCGGCATGGGCGGCGCCCCCGGCGGCGCCAGCGGCCCGACCGTTGAGGAGGTTGACTAGGCCTGAGGCGCTAAGCCGCTAGTGTGAAGCAAGTGCAGCATGCATCGAAGCTCGTGCAAGCTACCACTGCAGAGACCAAGGAATGCAACCCGGCACTGTACAGAGCCAGCCGGCAAAAGACTGTGTAAAACATCGCAGTGGGCGAGCGACAGCTGCAGTCGTTAGATCCGAGCATGTAAAGTCTGGGCAGTGATCGACCACCGACATTTGTGTGCTAGACAGCCATGCTAGATGCATATCATTGCGAGAAACACTATATGGCAGCTTGAACATAGGCATCTTTTAGTTTCCACAACGCAAACAGCAAAAGCCCCTAGCCCTAGTTCAGGCACTAACAGAAAAAACAACTTTGGGGCAAGTCCTCCCTCCAAAATGTACTGCCGGTTTCACAGTTGGGACCATGGACTAGACTAGAGCCTCTAGGGCGCTCAGAGAATTGGAGCCCATAGTGGCTCTTGGGCAAAGTATCAATATAGAACAGTGAAGGCATAGTGCAGCTGAGGTTGCCCCAAAACAGAAACGTGCACACGAGGCTCACCTGCTCAGTTTCGAAGTAAGACCAGCGACAACTGACACCAAGCGCCCTACCTTCTCTATGAACCTTACTTTCGGATTCCACAGAAAGCCCGAACCCTGCACCGCACAACAACGGGGTGCGGGGGGGGGGGAGGGGAGTACGACCAATAAAGCTGCCGACCTGAGCCCAAAGCCCGAGGTCGCGCATGTCTGAGCGGCGGCCTCAGAGACGGGAGTTACAGACAGGAGTGGGCCTTCGTTTCGTGCTTCTTCTAAAGGTCCTATCGATGGACGGTAGTGTAGAGTAGAGGGTCAGGGGTGTAGCGTGTCAGGGTTTCGGGATTTCTCTCTGAAAGAGAGTTTTGAGTTTTGGTTGGGTTTATAGATCTGAAGGACTTGTCAGGGTTTCAAGTCCGCTCAAACTCTGAGGTTCCAGCTCGCTGAGCGTGATGCGGTCATGCTGGTGGCACACTCTGTCCGAGCCACTGACCATCAGGTTTCTGGTTCAGGCATCAGGGGTTTTCTTGCCTTGTGTTTGGGTGTAGGATTCAGGCCTGAGGTATTGGGTTCAGGGTGCAATACCCCGGATCGAACCAAGCAGAAGTCAGTATTCGAGGCTTCGAAAAATGGCGGTGTCTTATTCAAGCCGGTTCTGACCAGTGGACGTGTGCGCAGGCGGTTTTCGCAAGGGTGAAGGAGCAGCGAGTAGACCGGTGTCGTGCGTTTGGTTTCCCTCGACAACGGGACTTCATGCCAAGACAGCAGCTCTCTGCGCATCGAGTCTCTTTCGGCTCTAGGTTCTGCAACCTCTTCGAACTTAGACACTCCTGTTAGAAAGCGCTATGGATATGCTGCGTGGGTTTCTTGTTCTCATGGCAATCAATCGCCTCTTCGGAGATTGCTTTCCCCGATGAGGATGACGGCAGCATCATGATGCTCCAGGTGAGGGCCAAGTGGGTCGACAATCAGACGAACCAAAGCCACCACCCGGACAGCCAGACGAATCACAGCTATCAGCCGGAGAAGATGGAGAAGCACTACCACCACCACCACCATCATGGCGACGGCCGCCCTCACTATCCGACACCACCGTGTCTTCCGCCGATATGCAAGCAAAAGGACTCAAAGGGCCACTGTGAAGATGCAGGTTGCAAGCGGCATGAGTTCTCTTCTTCTTTCAGCAACGATGGGCGATGCGAAGGGTATACCAGCGATCCAGATGCCGACAGATTCTGGCCTGAATTGCGCCTAAACCCTAAGCCCCCAAACCGGAACTCTTAAACGAGGCCGTATGCTACCTATTGAAATTTGCACCGGGAAGTTTGCCCAGACCTTTCCTGCACAGATATTAAGAGTACGGAGTAAACATGCCTGTAAAGTGTGTTTTTCGACTTCCGCACAGCCAATTCCTTTCTCGGTGCCCTCTGTGTTGGTGCTCAGGTCATTCGTGTTTCCTGAACAGCAACAAGTACAAGTGCTTGTCGTTCAGCGGCTGTCGATGGAAGACAAGTTACTTCAGCACCAACGGGGTTTGCGACGCCGGCCTTGTTAAAGTTGCTGATTTAAACTACCATGGTCAGGAAGATTTGCCGATTGATCTAGCACCTTATCATGGCAATCTAAGTTGAACCCTAAACCCAGACCCCAAACCAAATATCGCCCAGGATGGGGAAAGTTGGAAATATTGCGGCGCTTACTGGTCGGCGGACCCATGCTACCGCCATGACTGTAGATGGGACGAGGGCCTTCATCAAGAATGGCTTAGGCACCCGCGACACCGGTGATCACAAGAATCACAAGCGGTCTGGCAGGATGTGAGGCTCATGTCCAGATGCAAGCCATTCTAAATAGTTGCATATGTATGATGACATTTATATACATATGAACATGTGCACGTGGACATGAGCAGGAGAGCCTGCAATCCACCCCCCCCTCCGGCATAGCGAAACTTGAGGGTTTGAGGCCAACATCGCCAAGCCTTACTGCCCAAAGTTTGAACGCCCCGAATCTTAAACAGGACATAGAGCCCTTGAGCACTAACATGCTAAAGCCGCCACGGCAATCTTCTGGCTGTCCAGGGCATAGATCGGCGCCAAAGCGCTGTAAGCTTGGAGTTGCAGGCCCAGAGAACCCAATACCCCTTAATTAAGGAATATACCTTAAATTATAGGGGCCTTAATATGATGATTTAAGGTATATTCCTTAATTAAGGGGTATTGGGTTCTCTGGAGGGTTTCGGGATGTCGGCTTAGGGTCTTTGGCGCCAGAGCAAGATCCTAAATCCAAGGGTAAAAGGAGGCACCCCTTAAGAAGGACCCCTAGGTATAGACCCTTAATTATAGCTAGTATATACCCATTCTATAGCCCATTATAGGGGTTTACGTGGATTCTCTTGAGATCTTCGACGCCTTTTTTTATTGCAATTACCAGTGTTCGTACTTCAGGGGCTTTTGGAGTCTGGTATATCCTGTGAAGAAATGTGGGGACTATGCGAGGAGAGCATGGCGATCGCTCAAACCGGTCCTCAGGTGCACAAGAATCACATGCCAATCCTGCAGAAGTTCCTGGAAGAACGGGATCCTGATAGCCGTTGCCCCAGGTACGGGGGTTTAATGGGGTTTATGGGTGGGTCCTAGAGATTTCTTGCGACACCAAAGTTTCACAAAGCCTCAATTTGTCGGGCAGTAGTTTAGGGACGTGAGAGAGGGGTCTACGGGGGAGAAGTTGCATTGAAAGAATTACTCTTCCAAAATTAAGGTTGCAGCTTACGATGTCAGGCATGTGGCGTTGACGATCGGGCTCTTGATGTCCAAGCAGTGTCTGTCCTAGGTTGTCTCCTCCCTACCATGTCCCCTCCCTCAGCATAAGCCTTCGCCAAAACGAAAATTTGATAAGGCGGGCACGCATAAGAGAAGAATCTGGTAGAAACCCACCGCAGAAGAGTAACACCATACCATAGCCCTGAACAACGGCTTCGTCCAAAAAAGCTGCAAAACGAGGATGTGGGCTGGTAACCTTCGCCGTGCTGGTCCAGGGGATGAGGCCGAGGATTTGGGTTTCAGGGCTGGGATCCAGGGATCTAGGGATTTCTTTTAGGGCTGCACCCTGAGGCCATGACCTGAAACACCAGGCACATCCCTGAAACCTGAAACTGAGATCCCAAAGCCTGAGACCCCACACACTCAAAGCAGCGCGCCGTTTATTTCTGTTGGTTTCGGTTTCCATGCGTAAGGCATCTCAAGGGCAAGTGGCATCATAAGGGTCCCTCGCACAGTGACACCGGGACTCTTACAGATTGGTGAGACGACCAGTTTTCGGAACCCCCCTTAGGTCGGCTTCGGGGTAGTTTCATTCGGTAGATGTCGGTAGGGATTGTGTTCTCGTAGGAAGGTTCCCGGGATGTTTAGGACGATTTTGGGGTTCTGCGGCAGAGCAGGGCCTCATATTCGGTCTTCCAAGACTTTCAAGGTCTTGGGTTCTAAGGTTTCAGTGCGCTGGAGTTTCAAGATTGAGAGTTGGCGGTTCCAGGTCCTGAGATGTAGGGATTCGAGGCTACGGGTCTGTGCCGCCTAGCACAGACTCCAAACTAAGCTAGACTACGAACCACTGTGAACCCTGAACTGCTGGCTGGGCCAACCAAACCAAACCAGAGAAAGCCCTGAAAACCTGATTCCACTAAAACTTAAGCTATCAAAGGGGAAAAGGAGTGACCCTCAATGGGGACCCATACCTATAATGGGCTATATAATGGGTTTATAATAGCTATATTATGGGTATATACCTAGGGGTCCTCATTAAGGGTCCCTCATTTTACCCTTGGAAACTAAGACCCTCCTCGACCCTCCAATTGGAACACAGTATCTCTGAGGCCCTATAAACGGCATTTCGATTCCTATCCTGGAAAACGCAGGTTCTGTGGTGTGGGCGTGAAGGATATGGATGACATTTCCGGTGGGGAGCTTACCTGCTGCTTTTTGGTGCAGAGAACCCAATACCCCTTTATTAAGGAATATACCTTAAATCATAATATTAAGGCCCCGATAATTTAAGGTATATTGCTTAATTAAGGGGTATTGGGTTCTCTGGGTGTCTCACGCATAGGGGACTGCTTGCACTGGGGTGACCTTACGCAGGGCCTCCTTAGAAGGATTTTAGGATTCAAAGTGAAAGATTGGGGGGCTTAAAGGCCCTGAACCCTAAACCCTACTGACAAACCCTGAACACGAGGGTCCATTCTGTAGATGTCCTAGATGGAGCTTTTTCTTGGAGGCCTCGGCCGCAAACCCCCTGCAGCCCCGAGGTAGTTATCCTAGGATCATGAATGGTACAATTTTACTGATATGATCCTCCTGGGATTATCTTTCGAGCATGAATCGCAAAAAAGAGAAGCCCTAAACCATAAAGCAAAAGGAGCAGTTTGCTACACCGACTTCCTCTCCGATGTCGTGGCGGCCTTACCACCGGGCAGGTTCTCTCTTCTCTCTTTTTCTGGGTTCGGGGTTCAGGGTGGAGTGATTTTGGTGTAGGTTTATGGCTTAACGGGCACTGGATGTAGGGGTCAGCGACGTGTGGTGCTGCCCTTGTGCTGGGATGTGCCCTTGAAGCCGGGAAAAGGAAACCCTTCCCAGGCCCAATTCCAGAAAAACATGCAGGACCGGCGAGCTCTGCCTTTGGGGTTTCGGTTTCTCAGCACCCCCTGAATCCTGGACCTCAGACCCTGGACCTAAATCTAAATCCCAGACCCCCCGAAACCTTCAGTCCTGGCGCGTAGACTTGCGTTTTTTCACGTAGGACGTCGGGTTCGGGGGTTTCGGGGGGGCAGCAAGACTCTTGGGTAAGCAGGGCTTTTGTGGATGCGCGCTCGCGGATGGGTGCGATTAGCTAAAACATATATTAGCTTTTTGGTTGAGGGTGCGGTTGGGGGTTTGCTGCCTTAGCTTTCTTGTCGAGCGTTTCCGATCAGAGTTTCAGGGCACGTTGAGCTGCAGTCAGACATGGAAAAAGCGGACAGCATGGATGGCAAGCGAGTCGATTCTGCCCTCGGACGTCTCAAGAACATGGGGTGTAGGGTATGCGGGAGCTTGACAGTGGACGCTGACCTTGTGGCAACAAGTGAAAAATCACAGTAATGCATAACTCCTAGCCTTAAACAGCATAGCCAGGCACTAGCCCGTAGTTTTGGGTTTCCAGGTTCTTCTGTTTTATTTGGGTGGTTCCTGTGCTGTCTTGAGGCCTTCTGGAGGTTCCGAAGGGCGGTGGACAAGGAAGCCCAAGCCCCTAACCATGAACCCCGTGACAGGCCTAGACTCTGAGCACTAGTATAAGGTTTAGGGTTTAGGGAAGTTTTTAGGGTTTAGGGTTAAAAATGGCCCTAAGAAGTGTAGACCCCTTGCAGGGGTTCAGCTGGTCGCCCCCTGAGAGCACTCCGGAGGAGTCAGCTCTTTGGTTCGCTTTCTCGACCTTCGACATCAAGTGCACAGGCTGCCGTGGTCCGTGGGAGTCTTTCGGGTGTGTTCCATGTTGGCTTCTGCAAAGGGCCCTATAAGGGGTGTGATGGCGACCTCAAGCTCCTGTGTGGGGAGATCCACTGGGGATCTGAGATTCTTGGGGGGGTCTTGGGTCTTGACATGATTCTGCCTTACATCTAAGTCCCTGAACCCCTCATTTGCTGAGTCCCTGAACCCCTCCATGACACGCCTACAGCTCAAATCATCTGAGCCCTCGAACCGAAAGCGTTGAATGGCCAGGGGAGGCAGATCGGCGGGCGCTGCAGAAGGAGCTCTGCCCGGACGCCTCAGACTGCTGGGCGTAGGTCCAGGATGACTGTTCGAGGTTTGAGGTGTAAGGCTGGGGATAAGCCCGGGGGCCGCCGGGTGCGGTTCTGGAGGCTGGACGTGTGTTTGTTTGTTGTTCTGGTTTAGCTTAGGCTTTTGGAATCTGTGAGGCTGGTGACAGTCTGCGTGCAGTATCGAGTGTTGATGGGTAGTAATACGGTCGCTGGGCAACCACTTTATAGGGGTGCTATCGAACTCCTAGAACCCTGTTCCGATGATTGAGGCCCTGTAACGGAGAGGTCCTGAAATCCGGAACTCCTCAAGTTGAACTGTAGCCACTGGCACCTTCATCAGGGCACCCATGACACCAGGAACGAAGGGCCCAGATTTTAGCGCTTGCTGCAGAGTCTGTTCAAACCATTACAGTTACAAGACCCTAAGTCTAACTCCGGCAGCCGTCGCATTCAGGGGTCTCCAGTTGCAGCGGCTTTAGGGGATTAGGGCGCATATTTCCAATGGGTAGTAGTGCGCTTTGCCGCTTTGGGGCGAGACAGTGGGGCTTGGAGGATCTAGTGCCCCTGTCGGGTCACGCTTTGGGGCGCCGAAGCTGGTGCTCAACGTCCGACCTCGGCTGCTTTGGGTTTCCAGGCTACTCTAAACCCGGACTCTAAACTCTACGGCTGTTAGCCCTAAATCCCGAAATCCCCCAACACGGTAAAGCCCAGAAGCACAAGCGCCCTAAAAGCCCCGGAGCCCCAAACTCCAAACCTCAAGCATTTCTGAGGTGACGAGCGCTCCTACCTCTACGAGTCGATCGCCCAGCTTTGAAAGAAGTGGGGGCTGTGCCTTTTTTGTTTCTTGAGAGGCCAGAAACACTGAGAGTTTTGGGGCACAAGTACTGCTTTAGGTCTAGGCTTTCGGGGATGTTCGGGTTTGAAGTTATAAGGGCATTGGGCTCCCAGGTTCAAGAATTTCGGAAGTCTATGGGTGGGGATGGTGTGGGCCGTTAA